TTAAGAAGAGTGAAGAAAAGAGGACGAGAACAATGAGTGATTGTATTAAAAATTGGAGGAAGAGCGCAGTCTGAGACAATTGATTGACATTTTGTTGAATAAGCACTTACTGTTTGTTTCTCAGATTTTACTAAGAAGTTCTGCAATGCATTCGATTGTCCTCACTTGTATTCTCATTCACTACAGCAAACTTATCTCCTTGCGGATTGGCTGAATTATAATGTTATAACCATCGCTAATAACGATAAATACACATGTTTTTGATTCTTACTCAACAACCACTTTTTCTACTTCTTGTGTCTTCTTATTTGCGACTGTAGTGTGGTGTCGAGTCGAGATTGACTATGAACACCGCTACCAAAAAGCTCGTTCCAAATGACTCCATAAAAACCCCGAGAAGCCAAATATCAGAAGGCAGAAAATGGACCAAGTCAAGATTTATTCACTGGCGATCTCGTGGTATCGAAAGGATACCGAGATCGTGCCAGAATACAAGCTTGGTTACAGAAGGTAACCGAATTCGCGCGAAATTACAATCGAAGTGTAAGAACAAGAATGGAAGCCCAATATAGCTGTCATTAGCACAGTCAAACAAAAGCACTTTAAAACAAACACTGGTACAACTGTTTATAATAATAATTGTTTTTATTAAATCAGTCGTGTTCTCGTGACAAATGTAAGTCACTACACGACTGTGGGGGTTCAATACGTTCGAGTGCTATTAGTTGTATATAGTATTCTGCGTTAATCAAGTACTGAACGTAACAATAAACTCAAATATTAATTAGTTTTGTAGATTTTATAGAGGCTTGTAAATTCAATATTAATAGTGTACCTAAATGGACAATCGGCAGATCCAACTTCTGAACATGCATATGGACCTAAACGTTTATAGAAACTTAGTATAATCAGGATAAACACAAGCACTTACTATATCACGATGAAATTTCGAGAAGTCGTACTGCTGACTGTGCAGAGGTGTGACAGCAGTAAGGTGTTTCCCTCAGACAACCAGCATCTGCAGCGATGCTGCCTTCCCACAAGGAGGGGTGGGGTTAGAAAAGGTCGACCCTAAAAATGTCACACCTCACCTTACCTCACAGATTTCCGTCTCCAGCGGTAAGGTTCTTTGAAGAACGGAGCTAACACATTAAAAACCTCCCATGAAAATGCTGTCTGCGACTGGCCTCAAGCAGTTGTCCCTTGGGCTCTGCGGTCACGCTCCCAGGTCGTTAAGACCAACACTAATCCAAAATACTTTTCAGGTTCCTCAAGAAATACGCTTCCACAGTGTGGGCAGCCGGGAAGTGATAACCGCCCTCATACCTATAACACTACCCAAGACCACTGTATTCATAATCAACCTTCCTCTTCAATTCCTATTATTCCTCCTACATCGACTTTCAACCCTAAACTTCCTCCTTCGGCTTCTTCTCCAAGTGTCACCATACCCAACGATTCTAGTGCTCAAAACTCTGTCCCAGGTCTACTGAAACCTCGCTCCAAACTACACATTGGAGCTTTCAACGTACGCACTCTGTCAACTCGGTCAGCAGGCTTCCTTGGCTAAAACCATAGAATCTCGTACCATTGATGTATGCTGTGTCTCCGAAACACGCATACAGGATCCCAGTGTGGTCATTCACTTCACCTCACCTCGGCAAAACGGAGAGCCAACGAGATACACTCTACGTGTACCTGGTAACCCTATGGCCAGTTCTCGTGGACTGGCAGGTGTAGGCATAGCACTAAGCATGAGGGCGGAACAAGCACTGCTAGAGTGAATCCCCGTCAAAAGTCGTCTATGTGCTGTTCTGCTAAACGGCTCCGTAAGAACTCGGAAGGATAGGGACACACGTCGTTGCCTTTTTGTCCTTTCTGCCTACGCTCCCACTGACTGCAGCTCAGATAAAGTGAAAGATGAATTTTACAGAAAGTTATCTGAACTTCTTCAGAAAGCTAAACGCTCAGACATAGTACTCGTAGGAGGTGACTTTAATGCTCAGATAGGTAGTTTAAAACAAACAGAAAGGCATTTAGGTGGATATTTTAGTATTCAGACACAGCGAACAGATAATGATCGTCTGCTGCAACTATGCTCAGACAATCGTTTATTTTTAGCAAACAAAAATTTTAAGCATAAGGAGAGACATCGTCTAACATGGCGACCCCCTACACCAAACCAACGATGGACTCAAATAGACCATATCGCCATCAGTCATCGTTGGGAAGGGTCGGTACAAGATTGTCGCTCATTCTGGAGTACCTGCTTGGACTCCGACCACGCCCTAATACGGGCACGCATCTGCCTGCGCATCACTGGACGCAAAAAAGCCACATTAAAAAGACCCATTAGAACTGAGTTGAGTAACGAGAAAACCAAAAGTAGGTTCCAGGAACAACTGAGGTCACACTTAGGTAGTTCTGAAGACGAGGCTGACCCAGATGTTGCTTGGAAAGACATACAAGCAGCTGTGGAAGCAGCAGTGACATCTATTAGCAACTTAAACCACAGAGTTTCAAAGAACCAGTGGATTTCTTCAAAGTCTATTACACTGATGGATTCTCGCAAACTCGTCCCATCAGGTTCCGAACATGATGAAGAGCGACAACAAATCAGATTTAGGTTAAGAAAAAGTTTAAGAAACGACCGTGAGCAGTGGTGGGCAACGAAAGCAAAAGAGATGGAAAAGGCGGCGACTATAGGGGACACAGGAACACAGGAACTGATTGTCTAAGATATACTTCTCACTCTCGAGTGTACTACGATAATGCGTTAATGTGACGATAACACTAGTCATGTTATATCAAATCAAGGATTCACGACCCATAATATAGAACCAGATATTTTATTCAATACAATTACAAGGGGTTACACTCAGTGACTCCGGAGTAGAAATCAATGAGAGGAAAGGGAACCAAATATTAAATAGCCAGTAGGCTGTGCCTCTTTGTCTCAATAACCAATCATATTTTACTACTTCAGACCTGGTCGTGGCTGCGTCGACCACATATTCACCATTCGTCAGGTTCTAGAACACAGGCATACCTATCGGCGTCCGACGATGGTGGTCTTTCTTGACTTAAAAGCAGCATTTGACTCGGTAGACCGCGAAATTCTGTGGCAGTGTCTGTCATTGAAAGGCGTACCCCAAAAGTGCATAGACCTTGTGAAGGCTCTTTACTCGAACACTACTAGTCGAGTCAGGGCTTATGGCGAACTGTCATCTACTTTCGCAACCTCAAGTGGTGTCCGTCAAGGCTGCCCACTTTCTCCATTTTTGTCTAACTTCATCATAGACCTATTGATGGAAATAACACTCTCGTCGACTGAATCCTCGGGTATTGATCTCCTACCAGGAGGTCCACTTATCGACTTAGAATACGCAGATGGCATAGTCCTGTTAAGTGAATACGCTGATAAAATGCAGTCTTCTGGTAGCACTAAGCAACAATGCCAGAATGTTTGGAATGCGCTTCTCTCCCTCTAAATGCAAGTTGTTGCTTCAGGACTGGCCTACGCCAACACCTGAACTAAGGATAGGGAGTGAAGTAGTCGAACGCGTTGACAACTTCACTTATCTTGGAAGTTTGATCAGCCCTAATGGATTTGTATCGGACGAAATCTCAGCACGGATTCGAAAAGCTCGTTTGGCTTTAGCCAACTTACGTCACCTTTGGCGAAGGCGAGATATCCGTCTATCTAAAAAAGAACGAGTATACTGCGCGGCAGTTCGTTCTGTTTTACTTTACGGCAGCGAAACATGGCCATTAAGAGTAGAAGACACTCGTAAGCTACTAGTATTTGACCACAGATGCCTTAGAAATATTGCTGGCGTCTGCTGGGATCATCGAGTAAGTAATAGTGAGATTAGACGCAGGGTATTGGAGAATGATGGTAAATCAGTTGATGAGATTGTGAATCTTCATCGACTGAGATAGTTGGGCCACGTGTTACGTATGCCTGAACACCGATTACCAAGACGTGCAATGCTATCCGGTATTGGAAATGGTTGGAAGAAAGTTAGGAGCGGCCAAACCAAAACGTGGCATCAGTGCTTGAAGTCACTAACTTCTAGTCTGAGCCATGTTGGTAGATGCAGACTACTTGGTTGGGGTCCGCGTGACTATCGTAATCAATGGTTGGAGACTCTTGGTGACATGGCCCAGAATCGATCACAATGGCGTCGGTGTATACACTCCCTGTCTTCCCTTAAACTAAGAGATTAAAATCACTTCATATCTTTCTTTCTACTAACCAATTCTTTCTTGTACTATATCTCTATATGCAATCTTTCTCTTATATATTACCACCTTTTACCTAACCACTGTTATGAATCCGGTGTTCATCTCGCTGTGCTAATGAGGTATGGCAACCTGGACCGATGCACATATGTACCTGGTCCTACGTTGTAGCTGACTGACTGAATCTGATGAAGATATTATAAACAATTGTACCTTTAAATATATGTCAAGACAGTTCTACTGTATGGGTCGGAAACCTGGAGAACTACGAAAGCCATCATCCAGAAGATACAGGTGTTTATTAACAGTTGTCTACGCAAAATACTTCAGATCCGTTGGCCGGATACTATTAGCAACAACGTACTGTGGGAGAGAACAAACCAGATCCCGGCGGAGGAAGAAATCAGGAAGAAGCGCTGGAAGTGGATAGGACACACATTGAGGAAAGCACCCAACTGCGTCACAAGACAAGCCCTCACATGGAATCCTCAAGGCCAAAGGAAGACCAAAGAACACATTACGCCGAGAAATGGAAATAGACGTGAAAAAGATGAACAAGAATTGGATGGAATTAGAAAAGAAGTCGGAGGACAGAGTGGGTTGGAGAATGCTGGCCGGCGGCCAATGCTCCATTGGGAGTAACAGGCGTAAGTAAGTACCTTTAAATATTCCTTCTTTGGAGCAGTGTGTAAAGAATTTTAGATAAATTGTCACCACTTTTAAAAATTTGACTTTCATAAGAAAAAAAAACATTTATGAAACTGTTTTCAATCTTTATTAATAGAATGTTACCAGTACAGGTAATAATAAAGATAATAGTGATAATGATAATAACATCACTAGGAGTAATAGTAGTGGTAGGATTAGCAGTAGTAGTAATAGTTGTTGTTGTAGTAACAATACCATCATCAGCTGAATTGAATAGTGAATACACAATAAAACAAATTCAATAACTTGAACAAAAAGACAAATATTTATCATTAATAAAAAACAATGATGAAAATTATAAGGATATTGAGAATATTATCGTTTAGGTGTTAAAGGAAAAAAAGTAAATAAATGATGATAATAATAATAAACCAGTGGAACAAATGACAAATACTAAATCCGATAACAAAACAAGTAAATAACTAAATGCCTTAATTTAAAAATAATGAAATACGCCATAATTATAGAGATGAAACTGAAGTAAACAAATATAGATCACAAAATAATAAACATGGATAATTCGTCAAGTTAACGTCGACCACTGTGTGTTGGTAGAATTACTGGAGGTGGTGAAAATGTTTTTAAAATTGATTCACATTGTATGTTATGCGTATAATTGGAAGATTGATTAGGATTGCATGGAGTACAGTTAGTACAACTAGTATTAGTTGTAACACTTGAGATAATCTTACTGTTTGAATTGATCACATTAGCTGCCACATTCTGATTTAAACAAACTGTATCATCTTGTGATAAGCATGTTTGTGATTTATTCTTTGATTCAGATCGTTTCAATGATGCTTTTGAACTAAACATAGAAAGAGGTAAGCTTTGTCGAGACAACTCAAATATGGAAGCATCTGTTATATGTGAGTTTTGTTCTTGTCTTGAATGCATGCCCGATGATGATGCGGACAGAAATGATGTAGACAGCTTTTTAGGATAACGGAAATGTTGTAATAATGTTCGGCTTTCAACTGGTGATAGAATACCTTGACCACCTATTTGACATTCATTTTTTACAGAGTCTACTAATTTTAAACAGAGAAAAGAAAAACCAAAAAGTGAAAAGATTAGTATAACTTAAATTACAGTGCATTATTGAAGAGAACTGGAAATATTAAACAAAGTACTCAGAACGTTAACTCCGCCTGTAGCTCTTCTAGAGTTACTGCCGGTCCCAATCCCAGGTAAAGGAGGAGGGTTGGGCATGGGGTTAGCAACCCCATCCCGTAAAAAACTAACTCACTAAAAAAACGCTTACCAGAAAAAAACAATTCAAACCACTTAAACTCTGCCCTGGGAGCTAGAAGGTCTTCATTTAGAAGAATTATGACACTTCAAAGTGAAAGCCGAGTTCCTTCGGAAGCCAAAAGGCCGATGCCCCTTATAACAACCAGAGCAACAATTTTTATAGGTACATGGAACGTCCAAACAATGTGGGAGATAGGGAAGACCAGTCAAATAGCAATGGAAATGAGGAGATACAACTTGGCAGTAATGAGAATCAGCGAAACCCATTGGACCCAAGGCTAAATACGGCAGAGATGCTACTATACTCCGGTCACGAAGAGGAAAATACTCCACAAATTCAGGGAGTTGCTCTAATGTTGTCTAAAGTAGCACGAAATGCACTTGTAGGATGAGAACCTCACGGATCCAGAATCATTCAAAACAAAGAAGGAGGGGATCTTAATGAATATTATTCAATGTTATGCACCCACCAATGATAGCAACGACGACATTAAAAATCAATTCTATGAGGCTGCAATCAATCATAGAAAAGTGCCCAAGAAAGGACCTCATCATTCTGATGGGAGATCTAAACGCCAAAGTCGGAATAGACAACACCGGATATGACGATATCATGGGACGACATGGACTGGGACAGAGAAACGAAAATGGAGAAAGATTTGCAAATCTATGTGCATTCAACAAATTGGTTATAGGCGGTATAATATTTCCACACAAACGTATACATAAAGCTATATGGATCTCACGGGACCACACCACAGAGAACCAGATAGATCATATTTACATCAATAAAAATTTCCGAAGGACAATAGATGTGACGACCAAGAGAGGAGCTGACACAGCTTCAGATCACCACCTAGTTGTGGCTAATTTAAAATTGAAGCTAAAGAAGAACTAGACAACTGTACAAGCAGCACTACAACGGTTCAATACTGCCCTCCTTCGAGATACTGACAAAATCAATGAATTCAGCCCCGAAATGCCCTGGTATGGCCGAGAGTGGGGAGAGTCCACTCTCCCTCTCGAAATGCTCTCATATGGCTATGCGTATATAACCTCTTCCAGGGAAGTCCTACTTATTGCCTTCTCGTGGCGGGGGTGTTGTCTACGAAAATGGGAGGACGAAAAGCGAATGTTCGGCGCTTTAACCGGATTCGAAACCAATGGTGCATAATTGCTCCAGTATCCTGCGGGAACAAATGGTGTATGAACCAATTGTTGGTCACCGGCTTCCATGGAAGAGCATCTCCTTACGATGCTCCACTGTCTTGTGGATCAGACCTTCAGGTCGAAGACTCGGTGAGTGGCCCCCTAGAAAAACCACCTGCTTCGGTTCGGGCACCCGGGCAGTATCCCAGATCTCACACACATCGAATGAGATTTGTGTGGCGCATATGTATTTGGTGCCTCCTTGTACCAATATCTATGTGTTAAAATAATAATAATAATACAATGAATTCAAGATAGCTCTCAACAACAGGTTCCAAGCCTTACAGGTTCTATTGAAAGAAGAAGAAACTACTATGGAGTACAACTGGAAGGGTATCAAAGAAGCATTAACTTCAACGTGTCAAGAGGTTCTGGGCTTCAAGAAGCATCATAAGGAATGGATCTCTATAGAAACACTAGACAAGATCAAAGAAAGGAAAAACAAAAAGACAGCAATTAACAACAGCCGAACATGAGCAGAGAAAGTCCAAGCACAAGCTGAATACATAGAAGCAAACAAGCAAGTGAAGAGGAGCATTAGAGTCGACAGGAAGAAATATGTGGAAGAATTAGCAACGACAGCAGAAAAAAACTGCTAGAGAAGGAAATATGAAACAGCTTTACGATACAACGAAGAAACTAGCAGGGAAATACAGTAAACCAGAGAGGCCGGTCAAAAGACAAAGAAGGCAAGCCAATCACTGAAATTCAACAACAGCGGAACAGATGGGTAGAGTACTTCGAGGAACTCCTGAATAGGCCGGCTCCAATGAATCCACCGGACATCGAAGCGGCACACACATATCTTCCCATAGACGTCAACCCACCAAACGACGGAAGAAATTAGAATGGCCGTCAGACAAATCAAGAACGGGAAAGCAGCAGGACCCGACAACATACCAGCTGAAGCACTGAAATCAGACGTCGAAGTAACCACAAGCATGCTTTACCTTCTATTCAGAAAGATTTGGGAGGAGGAACAAGTGCCCATGGACTGGAAAAAAGGACACCTCGTGAAGATTTCAAAGAAAGGAGATCTGAGCAAATGTGAAAACTACAGAGGCATTACACTACTGCCAATAACAGGGAAAGTCTTTAACAGAGTGTTGCTGAACAGGATGAAAGACGCAGTAGACGCCCAACTTCGAGATCAACAAACTGGATTCCGTAAGGATAGGTCGTGCACAGACCAAATTGCAACACTACGGATCATCGTCGAACAATCAGTTGAGTGGAACTCGTCACTATACATCAACTTCATTGATTATGAAAACGCATTTGACAGTGTAGATTGGAGGACATTATGGAGACTTCTTCGACACTATGGAGTTCCTGAGGAGATTGTCAATATTATCCGAAACTCATACGACGGACTACAGTGCAAGGTCGTGCATGGAGGACAGCTGACAGATGCATTCCAAGTAAGGACCGGAGTCAGACAAGGCTGTTTACTCTCCCCCTTCCTCTTTCTTCTAGTGGTCGACTGGATTATGAAGACCTTGACATCTGAAGGAAAACAAAACTCTGGAAGATGTAGAATCCTTCACATACATGGGAAGCATCATCGATGAACAAGGAGGTTCAGATGCAGACGTTAAGGCGAGGATCGGCAAAACAACGACAGCATTCTTTCAATTGAAGAACATATGGAACTAAAAACAACTTTCAACCAACATCAAAGTCAGAATCTTCAATACCAACGTCAAGGCAGTTTTACTGTACGGAGCTGAAACTTGGAGAACTACCACAACCACCATCAAGAAGGTACAAGTATTTATAAATGGTTGTCTACGCAGGATACGCAAAATCCATTGGCCGGATACCATCAGCAACAGCCTTCTGTGGGAGAGAGCACACCAGCTTCCAGCTGAAGAGTAAATTAGGAAAAGACGATGGAAATGGATAGGACATACACTACGCAAATCGTCGAACTGCATCACGAGGCAAGCCCTAACTTGGAATCCTGAAGGGAAGCGGAAGAGAGGAAGGTCAAAGAACACATTACGTCGGGAAATAGAAGCAGACATGAAAAAGATGAATAACAACAGGAAAGAGCTGGAAAAAATTGCCCAGGACAGGGTTGGATGGCGAATGCTGGTGAGCGGCCTATGCTCCTTCACGAGGAGTAACAGGCGTAAGTAAGTAAATAATTTAAAATGTTAACCATAGAACTGAATAATATTTTAAGAGATCTAAATTATTATTCATAAACAAATCAGATGATCGATAAGCGTTTCATTCTATTCGGGACTCGTCGGCTGGATGTACCTGCATCTCAGAGTTGATGTTCACTCTGGAACTCAAATCCAGTACCGTTCACTTCAAACGCTATCGCGTTTTTCACTTAGCTACTGAGTCCTGATATCCACCTGTTATGCGGTGCAATGCGGTTAAGTTATATTCACTTGGCGTTGTTTATTTGTAATTTCCTATTGTTATTTAGGACTGCGATTGATCAGTCCTCATTGGCGGATTTGCAGCCTGCCTCGAGATTGTGAACATCAACTCTGAGGTGCAGGTGCATTCAGTTGACGAGTTCCAAATACGACGAAACGCGCCCCCTCCATTCCACTGTTAGCCACAATCGATCTTTGCTTATAAAGCTTGTGACTTCAGGCAATATCGAAGCAGTCCGCACAAGATGTACATATGCTAATGAGAGACTGATCAATTGCAGTCCTAAATAACAATGGGAAGATACAAGTAAACAACACCAAGTGAATACAAAATTAAATGTTTATAACTACAAGGAAAGTTTGTAGTATTTATACTTCCTCTGACAGATAGATATTAAACACTATGTTCGTTATTAGATACCAGAAGAGAAATCAAATCTTTTGGTGATCGGAATTTACGTTTCTTGGTCGATATTTTTCGATTAACGTTAGCTTAAATAAGATGGTGTTTTAAAAGAAGGTATAGGACAACGAAAGTATGGTATTAATCTATGTAGCCTGAGATAGTAAACTTTTTCAAATTACAATCAAGCCACGTTAGGTGCTAACTCTAATGCTTTTCAATACATAATTAGTACTGATATATAGTTAAGCTGGAAATCTAGTTGACTAAATAATACGAAAGTTTAATTTTGAGTAAAATCTAAATATGGTTAAATTAAATTCCCGGTTAATCAACAAAAGAAATATTCAATCCCCATTTCATTATTAAACGACAAGCAGAACAAGTGCTTACTGCTTTCAAGGATTACTCATTGCGTATGTATGAAAGCATAGCCTAATTCAACTCACATTAGCCATGTACAATTTAATATCTAAAGTTCTTAGAAATATCAACCATGTGGAAATTGAACATACTATCTGATAGCCTAAGCATGATATGTGAATGATAAACTAGACTTGCGATTTAGTTATTAAAGAAAGAATCTAGAAATAGTTCAATTATTGATTACATCTATTACAAGTGTGTTAAACGTAAACATATCCCACAAAAAATAAACATTAGCTTACATGTTCGATAACTGGGATGTGTCCATGAACTAGCGCAATATGCTTCAATAACTTGTAAAATTTTTGTATCATCCGCCGTTCGAAGTTCATTTTCATCTAATCATTGAAAAAAAACAGGATGACAAACGAAAGGAGTCATAAACTAAATTAATTTATTGATTGATTAGCTTAGCACGATTCACATTAAAATCAAATTAAAGAGAATGAGATATGTGCGAGACGATGAAATGAACAAATAAAGACAAACAACATATTTACCACGAACAAATCAACTAGTGAGTAAGTAGGCAAAGTCAAGCATTTGATTGAAGGAATTAAATATGAACGGAAATATAATCGGATTTACAAAAAAAGCATATATACATATATATCATGAGAAGCTCTATGACAATTACAGTGTGTAACTGTAGTGAACAAGAACACGAGTTGGGACAAATAGAATGTATTCGAGCACAAAATTATAGAACATCTCACTAAAATCTGAGAACCATACAGTAAATAGTTAATTTGCAAAATAACAATCCATTGTCTCAAAGGTGACTGTTCCTTTTGTAAATATCAGTTCATCGTCTTAGATTTAGTTGTTCATGCATTTTTATACTAATTGCTTTCCGCTCCCGTTCTTTCCTACCCGATCTTCTACTGAAATACACTCTATTCCTGACCACCGTTATATACTACTTATGTGGATATACGTAGCGCACATCACATAGCCAATACATTTATTTGTGATCAATCTCCCAACATATTTTATCGTTAACAAGAATTTTAGCAATGCATTTATCACTTAATAATCAATAATGAAGTTGGAAGATATAATTTAATTCGAAATAGAAAAAAGAAGAATATCAAAAAAGTAATTTATGTGCGTTAGGTACGAAAAAAGTTATCCAAGATACTTATCTAAACGTCTTTGAGATTGTTGCCATAACAACATAAACACGGACAGACAGAAAGTTTGATATACTACATTGTACAAAAGCAAAATGATCTATTAAGCTATGTTTGACACATCAAGAAGAAAATCTATCAACTAAATGACAATAATACTAAATGAATTAATGATGAAGCGATAGCGATAAAAAAAAACTTAGACCGGATTTAGGTATTCAAAAAGAGACAGTAATAAACTTATTACCTCTAAAGTGATCACACAATTTATCTTAACTGTCTCTAGAATCCACCAGCTTGGTTCTAACACCTAGTAACCTCTGACCTGTTCTTGCATATATATATAGTTATCAATGATAACATTTTCATTGCAATCATTTACATTCATTTATGTTAATTGTTCCATACTATTTCTTATCTCTATGTAAAATTCTAATACATATTTGGTTGTAAGCAGTTGATGAGAATCCACGAAATATAATGAATTCATATTATTCTGCATCAATATTTTTTCTGGCTTTATTTAAATTCATAAAGGCAACTAATTGCATGAAATGATGATTTAGTTATTCTATATACTATACATGACTCTTTTCAATAGCTTTATGGTAAAAATTAAACTGTGGTCAGATAGCGCTTAGCAAAATATTGAGTTCTGATATACTTAATCTTAATTTAAGGAATGAGTGGATATACTTGTAATTTGAATAATGATTAGTCAAATATAACTTAAGGGATCTAATAATGCCTTTAAACAAAACAAAAAAGTAGTAGTAATCACATTTGAGAAACGTGAATTCACTAACATTGACGAAATAAACCCATTTAATTTAACTTGATACATTTGAAAATATCTCGTCTGACTTCTAAAAAGGTTGATGATCATAAGCTAGTTTAATCATGACAAATTCATTACAATCATAACTTGAATCTAATTAAAAGCATTGAACTTTGTAAGTGCATGCATAAACAAACTAGTACATACAAGAATAGTTATAGTTAAAAGCCAGTTTGTATTTAATACAAAAAAAGTAGAAGACAATAAATTGAAACAATACATGAACATTATAATTTACGGATTTTTCCAGCTGAACGTAATACATCTTCTGCAGTGATAGCACTTTTCTGACGATCTAAATTAAAATTTAACATCACATTAGAATATATATGTATAGTGTAACAAGGTATTTTTAGTCAATGAGTAAACGAAACTTATCTTGTTTGCTTGATGATCATTAGCCATGTGGTTAAAAAAAACATTTCATTTCATTTCTGACTCAGAATGAATAAGTCTAATACGTGCAACTCTTAGAGTAATGAACATCTGTTGTTAAAGATATGGCTAACACGGACCATTGAAGTTTAACACAATGGATACCTTAGTCGATTCATATATAGTTAGTGGTTAAACCAATAATCATAAATGAATCACATGTTCAAACCCTACTCCTTTAATGTCAGTTTGAGGAGTTAAGTAGTATTACAGGACCCCACAAAAACATTTTGACTCGGAATCAAGTACAAAATTTGTAGCGGTTACATTATTAATTGATTTTCTTAAGGAGAAATTAGGTAAGAAAAGGAAATGCACCAAATAGTTTGAAGCGGTAACATTTTTACATCATATTTCTAATGACCGTGTCCTAAACATGTATGCAGTAGATTGATAGTTATTACTTCACATATACATGAAAAATGTAAAACTAGAGGTATGAAAAATGGTACACAAGTAGAATATTATTATTATCTCGAGGACATACCATAAGAATCCAAACAAAACATATCAGAAACAGAAAGCTAACCAGAAGTAGCATGATGAGAAAACCAATCAATGGCAATCAGAAGTGACCTAAAAGTCAGGTTTATTTCATTGGCTAACGAGTGGATGAATATCCTAAGGATTAGAGTGGTGTTTATATGAGTATTCGTGCATTTTATTTGATCGTCAAAAACACTTTCTCGTTCAAGTAGTCATTTCGGGGATTAGCGCGTAGTATACTATGTGCCAGTATAGGTTTTCGGACACCGTTCATCACAACATCTTTTTAAAAATTTTCTCAGAGGAAATGACTAGTTACACATACACTTGTCACCAATGAATGGAGAAATAAACTAAATGGGAAATTGAGGCAAACTCGTACATTAAAAGTATGAAGGAAAGAATAACTTACTATTACATAAGAATTGTACAGTTCCTAAAGGGAATATATATGTATATATCCATTTTCATTCGTAAGTTATTGAAAATAAGAGACGAAAGCTTAATTTTATGCATAATAAGCTAATTAATTTGATGTCGTGTTGTAGATTACAACAGTTAATTGCGGTAGCACATTATGTTTTTTCTCATTCACCCTTAGTGAGTCAGTAAGCATCTCTTATAGTGCTTCAAAACAAGTCAACATATAGTCAATACGTTGCCACATTTTGGCGCATTTGATCAACGGTGGTCATGCTGCAGATAAAACTAAAGCATTTAGGCTTATTTATGATATTTTGTCCCATATTTCTAGAGTAGTTTTCACCTATATTCCATAAAAATTGATAAATACAAGGATATGAGAAAAGTCTTAATCTTTGCATTCAAGAGACGTATAGTATCTTCACCCCTTATGTAATTAAAGAAAATTTAATAAATGATCCAACCAACTGTTTACCCATTTTATCAACCTCTTTCCATGTCTCTACAATAATTTCGGTTTTAAATATTGTTAACGAAATGGTGGAGATTTGTAACTCACGTGAATGATTTAGGTGGGATTTTGTTTTCTGAGATGGATGAAGAACAATGAAAGCTTCAAAAACAAATCATCCAGCTCAGAGGACAAAACTCCACCTGAAACACTGCTTATTCATATACAATATATCATTTAGTAGTTTCTCTCTCTTAACATATTTGTTATGTTTATCATGATAACCTAGTATGTGTTATTACCTTTTGCAGACTGCACACTAAGTTAAAAAGTGAAGGGGATCAACGAGGACGCATTGTCATTTTTTTATACGTCAGGTATATTTTAGAATTGATTATATTTAGTAGTTTTTAAAAAAACAAATTCACTGTGTCATACATCTCTATATAGGATGAATAAAATATCATATAAAAAAGTTAGGAAGTTCGAAGTTGCTTAAGCACAAACGTACTCCCATAATGTGAACCCTATCAACCTAGTCAACAACTGTTTAAATTCCCCCACAAACAAGATGAAAAGAGAGGTCAGATGCCCAGTAAGTAACGCTCAAAGCTAATTTGTGATGAATAACTTTTAAAATCCTAAAATCCCGATTCATATGGCACACAAAACAGCTAATGATAAACAGGCTTAATAAGACTATGAATATTACTGAATATTTATTGGTTCAGTTAAAACTCATACTATTATGTATTATTTTCACGTCAAAAAGTTTACTTTACTATATGAGCTGACAATGTAAAAAACCATATGGTTAGTGAGGTAAATATTTGGTTATACAGTATATGTGCTAGCATAATATGAACAATAAGATTTATGGATCAAAGATAAATGACAGTAAACAAATAAGTTTATAAAAAATCAATTGATTAACATACCACCACGTTTACGACGTGATTCCTTACTTGAAACGGTAACCTTAGGACTTTGAGCTCTCACATGGTTGTGTTGATTCTTGTGCGAAATAGAAAAATCTACCAACAGACCAGGAATATTCTGATCAATAAGCAATCCCAAATTATTTAATGCATTAACTGAACCGATTCTATCGTCTCTATTAAAATCTAATGGACCATCGACACGAAGACAATGAATTGCATGAATTAAGTCATTATCAGATGATAATTGTTCATTATTTTTATAAGGAATAATACTAGGCAAATCAATCGATGTTGAATATGAATGTCGTGTACCAACTATCGATTTATCAATATCTAAACGGAAAAAATATATGCTCATATGAATAATAAGTTTCGTGATGATTATTTAATGTCATTGAAACTGTATTAATACAGAAGAAATTTTCCTTACAGAAAAGACACCATACAAATATAAAACTGAATTACAAACAAAACAAACTTAGTTGAATTTGGTTATGTCCAATTTGGTGATGAATATTTATTGTAGAAACTTCGTAAACACATATCACTCAAATAAAGAGGACTCTGCATTAAAATTCATCTACAAGGTAAATAGAAGTCTAAAATGTGATCGATAGACGAACTCACCAATAATAAAGAGAAACGCCCACCACCACATTTACTCCTTTTGACCTTGTACTACTGTATCTCTTTATTAACCAATCACAGTTTGATGTTCATTGTAAAGCAATATTTGTTTGTTGACTCATTTTACCTATTCTCTGGCTACTGCTCGGTATGTTATTTGTCTATTTTTTCCCTGTATTAATAAGCCGTACAGTTTGTTTGTACACTAACGATGTTTATTTATGTTTTAGAAACAGATAAAGTTTATCCAGCCAAATAGCTTGCTTGTTCTGACTTTGGCCAAACCAAGACTGTATTCGACGGTTTAGAGAATAGCTCAGAATTAAACCTGTAGGAAATTGCTCCCTACAAGGTTATCAAAGCCACTTATATGACAGTTTCTTAACGTTGACGAACCAATAGCTATACATCTACAAGAAACAAAATTGTGTCCAAAACAAAATGCTACAACCTCTTCGAAACAGTAGATTCTGAATGCAAAGAACTTACCAAACCAGAGAACATGGGCATTAGTAGTAATTCTGTGCGGTAAAAAACGTAAGCCTGAAGATGATGTTAATATATCTGAAGTTAGAACCACTGTGCAGGTGTTATCCACTGGTGTGGAGATTTGTTTTGATTGAGGGTCAATAACGGATGATTGATGATGTTGACTTTCATTGTTTAGTTCTTCAGCACATATATTCGATGGTTCAGTTAATGGTCTAGGAGTTTTACTTTTTTTCAATGATGAAGAGAAGCGACGTTTATTATCATCCTTATTGTTAATCGAACTGCTGATGAAATTACAGTTATCTGTGATTTTTACAGCATTATCATTATTGACAAAGGATATTTTAGAAATATCTTTTGTGTAAGTGTGTTGAACAGCCAAATTGTCAGTGGAGTCAGGAGGAAACTTGAAACTTTGAGGATCTTTCATGGACAATGTCGACATCACCAGTGTTGATTGATGCTGATCAATCTGATTATTTTCATCTCTTGCTACTTTTGATGATGACTTTAATTTGTCATTCTAGAAAGCCGATAAAACATTCGTTAGAAGGATAGGAAACACTAAAGAGATCTAATTCACTGCCTAAAGTTAACATAAAAATAAGACTCAATAGCTTTCACTGAAGTCCCATTCTTTGCCCTAGTTGATTTAATAGTGAAGTTTTCAATGTTCTTCTGAAAAACATTATTAACATAAACTTCAGGTGGAAAATGACAGAAAAAACGCCAACAATAACCAATCACGTTTGAGATCGACAGGATAAGCTGTCAGTCATATATGGAGAAATTCAAGTAAACCACTTTTAACTGAAGTCGGTGCTGATAGAGTTGATCAGGATAATCAAAGCTTCAATATTAAATCATCCAACTCAGAAGATAAGACTCCACTAAAATCATCCATTTATGAAAAAATACAACGAGAAACAACTTCAATTTTAGGAAAAATATACTGGGATAATAACTCTGAACTAACAGAAAAATCCTCATCTTCAGACATTAGGATATAACTACTGATGTATTAGAACCATGGTTACTGTGATTATCCGATAGACACGTTGTTAATCTAACTCTTTTTGTCATGTTCGTCGTTCTTGAGTACCGCATATTTCTGGATACCAGAGACTTTGACAATTCCTGTTATTCGGATGAAATCTGCTCTATCTTTAGAAACTTCAAATATCAAAGTTAAATAAAATCAAGTCATTCGCCACCTACATAGAGATCTTTAAGGCTAGTAAACGAATTATAAAAATATATAACCTAATTAAAACCTAATTTATTTCACTTTGAGCTTCCGTTCAACGATAAAATTTACTGTATACTGTAGGTGAGTGATTGCTGAATATCGGTGTATTTTCGCTAGAGATTACATTCTGAACAGTTGGAGTTCCACTCATCTGTCTACTATGAAAATGTCAGTGCAGTACAGCTCAACTTGCTAGACAAAAAACAAATATAGCGAAATGTAAGGCTTTAAATGAAATCGCTAAAACATTTTCACTATAATATGCAGTACTTATGCAATAAAAGAGAAGATAAATAGTCTGAGGCGATGGATACAACAAGTTTATTGAACAATGAGAACGCTGTGGATAAACTTAACAAATTTTCTGTATCGTAAGATTTGTAAGTTAATCTTAATATAAAGGGAATAACTTTCAACATTTTGTACGGTGAATAAAACAGTAATTGGACCTACAGACTAATCATTGAAAGCCAACTTGAAAAACTATTGAATTACAGATTTCACATTTTTGCACAGTATTACTCGGATAAGAATCTACCCTAATAGATGGTTATTTATGATCGAAATAATCCACTTTAAATGTAATTGATTCAAGAATCGAATAATGCAAAGTTGGTTAAGTAACGATCTATGGTGGAGACTTCGTTGAGGAATCACCAAGTACAAATTAGTGGAGTCAGTTTCGAAGCACACAATTTGTGGGTGTCCTAGTGACACTATCACTACTGTTAACCCACCGCTTTTTAAAAGTTGAAACAATCTACAGTTTTCCGGAAAATGCCTCCATTATCACCCGTTCAACCAATTTCTTAAAGATCTCAACACAAAAAAATGATAATAGTAAAATTTTTACATCTAGTGTGTCCTTTCGTAAAGGTAAAGAACTTAGAGATGTATTTCCATGTTTGTCCAAACTACTCGCATCAGGTTGACTGAAGAAGTCCAAAGAAATACTCTCGTTTTTTATATGACATTGATCAATATCTGGTGACTGTTGTTCATTCTGGGTCTGATATTGTATTAGGTCAGTTAATGTAGATACCAAAAGATCTCTAGCATTTTGATCTGTACATGCAAGTGTTATTTGACAAGGAATAACATCCATATTCATGGAATTAAGATCTAAATGAGAGACAAACAAACCAGGGGAAATATGGAGAGAGTACATACATGAGAAATTTACTGTAAGAAGAAAGATATTTTTGTAAACTTTCAATCAGAAGTTCTGTACACGAATATCCTAACGCTTAATTAAACCAATGTAGTAATACTTAGTATGCAACTGATAAAACGAAAAAAAATGAAATGAGAATAATGATAATATTAACGGTAGTGGGAAAAAACTAAACATTGATGAGTAAATTTCGAAAAGAAGGGAAAAATTCGGGGAATAAAAAGTACGAACTAATTTTGGAGCTCTGGAGTTACGGATATGTAAAGAGTAAATGCACCTACACCGTCGTCACTGACTCCGATCCATGTTATCCGACGTTTCCAAACACTGATTACGATTATCACGTGGACTTCAGGCAGGTAGTCTGTGCCTACTAACACGCCTCAGTCCAATAGTTAAGGACTAGTGTCACATCCTGGTTTGGCCGCAGTACAACATAGTTTATGTGCATTAAACACGCCTCTTCGCTGACACGAGAACCTTGTCTATATCAACGTAATAGGGCTTCCAGGATAACCAACGGTGTCCACACACTCAACTAATTCACTCGCTATAACCAATTTAGGGGGTCATGCAGACTAGTCGTGAAACAGTATTTTGTATCTAGAGAAAGAGAAATGTATACCAAACATCCTTGAATTGTGTTTGGAAGACTTTGGACGTATCAGGGTTTTAACCTAACAGAACTAACTACATCATCTCCATATTTCAAATCAGTAAGTGATTCTCCTAGTAAGAGGTCAATCCTTGAAAAGCCAGAAAAGAAAAGAGATTTGACCAAATGAATGTTCATGACAAAGTTAAATGAAACTATAGAAAGTGACCAATCATAGCGAACACCACGTAACGTTACCAAATTTAATGACAGTTCGTCATAAGCCCTGAATTGATGAATAATCACATGAGATTATATCCAACTGCACCACTAGTTTTAGGTTTCTAACAAACGTCTGACATGTATATACAACAGACCCCATACCATGATTCGCTACCTCAAGATGCATACACACTAAATAGACAATGTTTCTCTATATAACTAAAGTTGGTGCTCTGCAAAGATCAAGCGGTCATATCGGAATAGTCGCAAGGGACGATCACTGTCATGTGTTCACTGGTTTAGGACGTCAAAAAACTCAACTTTAATTAGCAAACAGACTTGGGTATTTAAATTACCTGCTACAATAACCACTTTTCTAAGCCACCGGGATTCTGAAGGATCGGAAAGCTTTCTATAGAACTCAGCCCTGGTGCAGACATTGGAGGGTGTAGGTAGAGACGATGAAGAGGCAACAGTATGTATCCGCGTCTTTCTGAGTTCTTATTTAACCATCTAAAGTGACAGCATGTAAACGACAGTCAACAGGAATCCAATCAGAGAGTACCGACCCGACAGAAGCTGCTAGCTTGACGCGGCGGTCGGGCTTGCCTATCGTGATAACCCAACCGAGCTATATTGGCTGGAACATATGTTCCAGTAGGTTCTACCATGCCAGGCAGGTCGATTGGAGAACGGTAAGACTAAAAGCAGCAATTCAAGGTCTGAGGGCGAAGACGTACTGCTGACTGTAGAGAGGTGTAACAGCAGTAAGGTGTTTCCCTCAGACAACCAGCATCTGCAGCGATGCTGCCTTCCCACAAGGAGGGGTGGGGTTAGAAAAGGTCGACCCTAAAAATGTCACACCTCACCTTACCTCACAGATTTCCGTCTCCAGCGGTAAGGTTCTTTGAAGAACGGAGCTAACACATTAAAAACCTCCCATGAAAATGCTGTCTGCGACTGGCCTCAAGCAGTTGTCCCTTGGGCTCTGCGGTCACGCTCCCAGGTCGTTAAGACCAACACTAATCCAAAATACTTTTCAGGTTCCTCAAGAAATACGCTTCCACAGTGTGGGCAGCCGGGAAGTGATTTCAGCCCTCATACCCGTAACAGCACACGAGACCAAGTTGGTCACATTCAAATCCTTCCTACACCTCCTAATACATCTCTTATCAACATGACTAACCCTCCTTACATCTCTTTATCACCTCGCACCACTAAGACAAACGATTCGAATACGCGGAACGCTATACCTGGTTTTCTGAAACCACGCTCTAAACTACATGTAGGAGCTTTTAACGTCCGAACACTGTGCCAAATAGGACAGAAGGCTTCCTTAGCTAGGACTTTAGAATCTCGTGCCATCGATGTGTGCTGCGTCTCCGAAACGCGCAAACAAGATCCGAGTAGCGTCATTTATTTGACTTCACCATGCCAAAATAAAGAACCGACTCGATTTACGCTTCGTGTATCTGTAAGCCCTGATTCTGCTTCCCGTGGCCTCGCCGGCGTAGGTATAGCATTGAGTCCCAGAGCAGAACTAGCTTTCTTAGAGTGGATCCCAGTAGACAGCCGTTTGTGCACTGTCCGACTAAACGGAACAGTAAGGATCCGAAAAGATAGGGACACTCGTCGTTGCCTCTTCGTCGCCTCTGCCTATTCTCCCACTGACTGCAGCGCAGATGATGTAAAAGATGAGTTTAACAGAAAGCTCTCCGACCTTCGCCGAAAAGCTAGGCGCTCTGATGTAGTAATAGTGGCCGGTGACTTTAATGCTCAAGTAGGTAAACTAAGCGATAGGGAAAGACACCTGGGTGGATCTTATAGCATCGTGGCTCAAAGAACAGATAATGGCGACCGCCTGTTCCTTGCAAATACTAATGTTAAGCATAAGGAAAACATCTTTTAACATGGAGACCCCTGAATTCGTCCCAACGTCGAACCCAACTAGATCACATTGCTATCGGCCACCGATGAAGGGGCTCAATAAAAGAATGTCGTTCATTCTGGAGCGCATGCTCAGATTCAGATCATGCTCTAGTACGAACGCGTATTTGTCTGCGTCTTACTGGACGTAGGAAGGACGCTGCAATGAAACTTCTTAGGGTTCTATTTAATGATAGCCAAGCTACGAATATATTTCGGGAACAACTGGAAAAACAGTTAGGCAGCCATGTAAGTGATGCTAGCCCAGAGGCAACTAGGAATGATATCCGAAAAGCTGTGGAAACAGCAGTGATATCTGCGAGTAAGGTAAACCACAAGGTTAGGGAGAAACACTGGATCTCAGCAGCATCTATTGCAATGATAGATGCTCGGAAACTTATTCCACCTGGCTCTGAACATAATGAAGAGCTGAGTCAGCTTAAGCGCAAGCTGACAAGAAGTCTACGCAATGATCGTGAACAGTGGTGGGTAGCGAAAGCAAGAGAGATGGAAGAGGCAGCGGCAATAACAGATAACTGTTCAAACTTGTTAAGGAAACCGGTATTAGGAAACCGACTGTTAGCGAAACACTCTCAGAGAAAGATGGACATATTATTCATTCCCAATCCAGGAGATTGGATCGATGGGCAGAACACTTTAGGGATCAGTTCAACTGGCCTTCAGCCACACTTCGGTTTCCCACGATCTCCAGTCAACCTGAATGGCAAGTTAATGTAGGTCCTCTGTCTCTTTACGAAGTTGAAAAAGTCATAGGAAATCTGAAGTGAGGGAGAGCAGCAGGCCCTGACAGGTTTACTCCTGAGATTTTTAAGGATGGTGGTTCAGTATTAGCAATGAGATTAACCGAGGTCTTAGGCAGAATTTGGGAACTGGACGTAATCCCATCTGACTGGTCTCAATCCATGATTGTGCCAGTTTTTAAGAAAGGACAAAAGTCCTCTTGTGACAATCATAGAGGAATCAGTTTGACTAATATAGTGTCTAAAATATTAGCTTCAATAATACTTCGACGCCTAACCAAAGCTCGTGAAGAACAGACTAGAGAAAATCAGACTGGTTTTCGACCTGGACGTGGTTGTATAGACCAAATATTCACACTACGTCAGGTTCTAGAACACAGACACACATTTAGACGCCCCACAATGGTAGTATTTCTCGACCTTAAGGCGGCATTCGACTCTGTTGATCGTAAGGTTCTATGGCAGTGTTTGTCACTGAAAGGAGTACCGAAGAAGTACATTAACCTTATTCAGGCTCTCTACTCGAACACAACTGGTAGAGTGAGAGCTTATGGCGAACTGTCATCAGAATTGATTACATCAAGTGGTGTTCGTCAGGGCTGTCCACTCTCTCCATTCTTGTTCAACTTTGTGGTCGACGTACTTTTAGAGATAACACTCTCCTCATCTAAATTTCCAGGGGTTGAACTTCTACCGGGAGGTTCACTTGTTGACTTAGAATATGCTGATGACATAGTTTTATTTGGTGAAGACGCTGACAAAATGCAGAGTCTTCTGATCACTCTAAGCAACAATGCAAGCATGTTCGGGATGCGATTCTCTCCCTCGAAATGCAAAATGTTGCTTCAGGATTGGGTTACATCGACACCCGAACTAGTGATAGGGAGTGAAGTAGTTGAGTGTGTCGACCGCTTCACTTATCTTGGAAGTCTCATCAGCCCTTGTGGTCTGGTGTGTGATGAAATCTCAGCACGGATACAGAAGGCCCGACTAGCTTTTGCCAACTTGCGTCATTTATGGTGTAGGCGAGATATCCGTCTATCAACCAAAGGACGGGTTTACTGCGCAGCAGTACGTCCCGTCCTACTTTATGGCAGTGAAACATGGCCGGTAAGAGTAGAGGATATTCGTAGGTTACTAATATTCGATCATAGGTGTCTTCGAAATATTGCTCGTATATCATGGGACCATCGAGTAAGTAATGCAGTTGTTAGGAAACGGGTACTAGGTAAGGATGGCAAATCAATTGATGAAGTAGTGAAACTTCATCAGTTGAGATGGCTGGGACACGTGTTACGTATGCCCAACGACCGACTGCCTCGACGTGCGATGTTCAGTGGTATAGGAGTAGGTTGGAAGAAAGCTACGGGCGGCCAGACCAAAACATGGCACAAGTCCATGAAGTCACTGACAAGTGGTCTGAATCATGTTGATAGGTGTAGACTACCTGGTTGGGGACCGCGAGATGATAGCAACCGATGGTTAGAGACCCTGAATGACATGGCTCAAAATCGTTTGCAATGGCGCAGGTGCATCCACTCTTTGTGTTCTCCCAAATTCTAATCTTCTGAATTCCTCATGTCCCTTGTTTTTCCTCTTTCCAAATTTTCTTCACTAGATTATACTCCTTGAATGATATCTTCAAACCCTAATCTTCCCGATCACTGCTTACACTCTTGCTACCTCTACCACAATGGGATTTGAATCGACAACTGCATTTCTGTGTTAAGGTGGTGTGGCAACTCGAACTGATGTACGTACGTACGAAGTTCTACGTTGTTATTTACTGACTGACTGACTGACTGGATATACGAGCAATATTTCGAAGACACCTATGATCAAATACTAGTAGTCTACGAATATCCTCTACTCTTACTGGCCATGTTTCACTGCCATAAAGTAGGACGGAACAAACTGCTGCGCAGTAAACTAGTCCTTTGGTTGATAGACGGATATCTCGCCTACGCCATAAATGACGCAAGTTGGAAAAAGCTAGTCGGGCCTTCTGTATCCGTGCTGAGATTTCGTCACACACCAGACCACAAGGGCTGATGAGACTTCCAAGATAAGTGGAGCGATCGACACGCTCAATTACTTCACTCCCGATCATTAGTTCGGGTGTCGACGCAACCCAATCCTGAAGCAACATTTTGCATTTCGAGGGGGAGAATCGCATCCCGAACATGCTTGCATTGTTGCTTACGGTAGTTAGAAGACTGCATTTTGTTAGCGTCTTCATCAAATATAACTACGTCATCGGCATGTTCTAAGTCAACAAGTGAATCTCCCGGAAAAAGTCCAACTCCTGGAAATTTAGATGAGGAAAGTGTTATCTCTAAAAGCACGTCAACTACAAAGTTAAACAAGAGCAGTGTTTTGGTAGTTAGACTAGTAAGCTCAGCTTACAAAAGGAAGTGTGATTCATTGGATACATCTACTTAATTACTGGACTAGTTTAAAAATATAATCTTCGTTACGAAATATACAGTGAGAATATTTACACAGTAAATTATCTATTTACCTTTAATCAATAAATCTAAATCTGTTTCACTTCCGGTCGATCTAATCACAGCCAAATTCTTCAGTGGTATTTTGACCTGTTTTCAACAGAATTTGTATGAAAGGCACTGCTCAATAAAAATTTTAATGAGCATTACAAAAAAAACAGAACTAAACGAATGAAACGATAACCCTAAATTACTTATTTTTTCAATAAAGAAAAGGAGCAATCAATGTTTTTCATGGTGGTCTAGCTTCAATTAACTTATGAATTCAATTATAAATTTACTAAAATCTCCACAAAAACCCTTCTGATAATTTTGAATACGTAAATTTTGTACACTCGTTTATCCGGACGACTATTCAGAATAAAAGGCAATAAAGCGAAGCGAAGGCAAATGAGCCAACTCGACTTGATGCAGCATGACTCAAAATTTATAGGCAGATAAAAATAAGCTACAAACACGCCATGAATGACGTAAGAAATACACACAGATGCTCATATAGAAACAGAAATTATTAATAAGAGAATAATTAACGAGGTCAAAACATGACTCAAGAAGAATAAATAAATTGGTCTATTCGGAAGCTAGAATAATCCATATAAGCTTGACATAGCATCAGACACTACAGGCCGAACGATGCGTATTTTACTCAAAAGAACCCGAGAACATTATCCGACCTGGCTCAAAAGAGGCGGAAATGGCTCAATAAGAAGCTCGATAATCGAACGCCTCACGAACGCACGTCACTTAATCAGAGTGGACTCTGAAGACAAAAACATCTACAAGGTAAATAGGTTATCAAAGCCACTTATATTCCGTTTTCTTAACGTCGACGAATCAATAGCTATACATCTACAAGAACCAAAATTGTGTCCAAAACAAACTGGTACAACCTCTTCTTCTACCATGATCTTAATATCTCGGAATTTTCATTCTTCTTCATGCTTTTCTTCATTCATAGCCATCTGCTTCCCTTCCATATTCTCCATAGAATTTTTATCCCCAAACGGTATTTTTCCGTTTATATGATCCGCCCGATTGCAGCTCCTCCCAATTTCGACATTCCATCTTATCATACTGAGTCTCTCATCCCCAGTTATAATTTCCCTATATTCATGATGAATATACAAGTCCTAAACAACAAAGTTATTATTAGTTTCCCTGATGAAAATAATCTTTAATGTTTTTTATCCCACCTCACTGTTACCATGTTTAACAGAATTTCATTATCACTAATAATGTAATTATTATCATTTTGAAAAATAAGTATATATTTGCGAATGTACAGTTTGGAAATGAATTCGCCGAAAAGAGAACTTTTATGTCTAATAACACAATACAGTAATCCACTTATTCAAGGCTGACAAGTCTTTCATTAATTAACAGATATTTACCACAAACACGTATTTATGTTGCCTCAAAAATATTGCACACGGTAAGATAAAGCAAGAATAGTATGATTAGAAAATCATTTTTAAACCCACTGTTAAACTGCAAGAATGAAGAGTAGTTGAACGTTGTTACTCCGCGCAAAAGGATTGGTAAGAAAAGTGCATTTCGCAGATCACCTGTATGGAACCAGGGTTTCCCGACTTCCATAAGTGGCCCTTCAGTACCAAATGATATGGTTTGAACACTAGATGTGCACTCTTATCTTATCACATACAGTACATATAAGTATGGCTATGCTATAACAACTAATATATAATTCAGTGCAAAGCATCAACAGCCTAAATAATTCAGACTTTACTGAAACTGTGGGAGAAGGGGATCGAAAAACAATTGTGTAACTAAACCTAATAAAAAGTAGTGCATTATACTGATTCTTCTATTTGGCTGCCAACATCAAATTAAGTGGATCAAGGTTTAACCTTGTGAACCAAAATTAACCATAATACTCACGTAAATGTGAATATGTGTTATTAGCAGTAAGTAACATTAGGATTAACATCCAATGACCAACAAAAGAATCGGTTTTAAATATAGGTCTTCGTGTTTTATAGAGGAGACGTCTTGCTTGAAATTGTGTTAATTTTAGTGGTATTTTAGTTACTACATTATTACTACCATCTTATTCACAGCTGCCATTAACTACTACATATTAAAACAGTCGTACCAATTTTAAAAACTTAATCGATAAAATCTCAATTGCATATTACGTACTCCGTAGTAGCGAGTCAGTAAAGGATGTATCGCTCGTAGAGAAACTCAAAGTTCAGGGTAGAATAGAACAGCTACTGAATCCTCCTCGATTTTTAAGAGTTCTCTGAATGATTTCAGTTTATTATGAGTCCCAAATAGGACGAAACACGCGTCTTCCATCCCACTGCTAGCCACTATCCATCTTTGCTTATAAAGCTTGTGGATTAAGGCAATACACACAGGATGTACATATGCCAATAAGAGACTGATCAATTGCAGTCTTAAACTTCAATGAGAAGATTCAAGCAAACAACACCTAGTGTATTTAAATTCAAATTAAGTGAAAATTAGGACTCAGCAGCTAAGTGGATAACGCGATGGCGTTTGAAACCGATGGTACTAGGTTCGAGTTCCAGAGTGAACATCAACTCTGAGATGTAGGTACAGCCAGCTGATGAGTCCCAAATAGGACGAAACGCGCGTCTTCCATCCCACTGCTAGCCACTATCCATCTTTGCTAATAATCAGATAGGTTTGAAATACGGAAAAAAGGATACTGATTTTATTACGATAAATGAATATAAAAATGGGAATTATAAATTCAACCTCGTCGTTGAATTCATTGACCATGTAGATAGATATACGTCGGTTTATTAGTATGTCATGAAACTTCGGGTTCTCATTTGATTTAATTATTACCTTTACATGTACAACGTAGATAATTTCAGATACTGTATTTCATTAAAATTTTAAGTTACCAAGTGTCCATTCGTCAAAGTGAATTTTTGGAAGTAAAAATATCCAAGCTATTTCCTGGAATTCCATCAGTAATAGTATTAGCAGAGAAAAAGACACTGGAGAAAGAGTATGTTTGTTTAGTGAAATTACAAAAGGCTTACAGAATATATACACCTATTATTCAGTGATCCACTTGCGCAGGCCGAGAGTGGGGAGAGTCCACTCTCCCTCTTCAAATGCTTTCACATGGCCACGCATATATAGCCTCTACCAGGGACGCTCTACTCACTTCCCCCTCGTGACGGGGTGTTGTCTACGAAAATGAGAGGACGAAGTGCGAATATCCGGCGCTTTAACCGGGTTGGTGGACATTGAGAGTTCACTTAGGGGAGTTGGAAAACCCTGATTCCAAACCAGTGGTGCACATGGGATCCACGATCCTAAAGGAACATATGGTGTATGAACCAATTGTTGGTCACCGGCTACTATAGGACTACATCTCCTTATGATGCTCCACTGCCTTGTGCATCAGACCTTCAGATCGAAGGCTCCGGGTGTGGTCTCCTAAGAAAACCACCTACTTCGGTTTGGACAACCGGGCAGTATCACAGCCCTTACACATATCAAATGAGACTTGTGTGGCGCATATGTATTTGGTGTCTTCATGTACCAATATCTGTGTGTTAAAATAATAAAATTGCGTCCAGTTAGGTATTCTCTGGTTCAAGTTCGTCCTAGCCTGTCTTCAGACTCTTCAATTCTGGTCTCAAAAGTATTCTGCTTACTCCATGGTTTGGAAATCTTGGAAATCTTCACTTTGACTGTATCAACTTCCATGCGACTAATAAGTAATCTTATGAGTAGCATTCACCAAAGCAGTAGTAGTGGTAGTATTTGTTATTTATGATTCAGCTATTGCTTAGCCGTAAACCTATGAGTATTTCCTGAATAAATATTGATCTATTTACATATTGAATTAATAAATTATTGGTAATTCTAAGTTTTATAAAATGAAGCAATAAAACTAAAAAAACAGACACACAGGTGAATTTCACTTACAGTATAATCGTAAACATTAGTTTGGTTTGTTCTAGCCAACAGGAGCACACAGGTAGGAAATATAACCAATAATGATAATTGTGTTTTTCTTGTTAATATATCATTTATATGGATGAAATCCGGTAGGGTTATCGTTGATTGGTTTACTTGTATGTTGACTAGGAGAACACGGAGAGTGAGAATTGGGTCACCAAGTTGTTGTATAGGCTAATTGTAGTACAAAACAAGAAAATCGGCAGCATTAACAATTAATAGAAATACTATATATGGGAGGAAAGATTTAGAAATTATAAATAACAAATATTTCATCTCCTGTAATTTGCGCTCCAGGTTCAATCAGCTCTTATTTAGGTTTTAGCATAATCTATTGAAAAGTCACAAAACAAAATCTTAGTTTCCACTATATCAATAAATATAGTCATGAAGTACTTGCGGTACCATAATGGCGTCGAGAACAGAGGAACAGCATGCATCAGCAAATACTGATTACCTCTACTATGCTAAATGAAAATGTTGTCTACTTTATTTATGCATAATTTCGAAAAGGATTCAACATTCAAAGGCGTTTTCAATATGTACAGCAATATTTTGTACAGAACTTGAATACTCAACTAAGACTACATGTTTCTATACAGAGTGATCTCAGACTTCGAACTTATGGATATTCCAATCTCTAGTGCCTTTATCAAAATGATAATTACTGGCGTAAGAACGTGATCCCCTGAACGTTGCATTTATCCAAGATTTTGAATGAAATGTAAACATTATATATATATATATATATATATATATATATATATATATATATATATATATATATATATATATATATATATATATATATATTGTGGCTCATGATTCTTAATTTCTTAAGACTCAGGAAACCGTTTGTCAAATTTGTTGAAGAAATGGTCAAGCAGCTAGGGGACCTAGAAATATTATTTGACCGACGTAAGTTGGTGTGTTTTATTATCTTGTTTGTTCAGGAGGCCAGTCTTTGTATTTTGAAAATGGTCATAGTGATCTCAGTCGCCTTCACTTGTCGTGAATCCTTGACAATACTCACTGGACTACTGTTATTCTTTAAGTGTTCAACTAATAATCAAGAACTGTCTGAGACTGTCATCTACGTTTGATGGGTGAAAGCTGTTGAAATAACAGAAGTCCGAAATTGCATTACCTTTAATGTCAAGTACATCTAATTCAAAATATCGTAAAAAAGGTATAGATCAATTTGTGTTCAACTGTAACTAAAATCATAGAAGCTGAGTTCAGAAAATATTCACCTATTCTTCCGTCTGATGTTAACAAAATTTTTATCCTTAATAAATAATTTATGGACGACTGCTGAGCGACGCCTTAGTGACCCTGATAATGTCCACCTACTTTAATAAATTTAAATGAGGGTTATAAACCAGCATGAAGAATTAGGATTATGACGGTCATTTTTGAGGACTATACTTAGGGTTTTCATTGCGAACTGATACCAGCTAAAATGCTGAAACGCTATTTAGACAAATGGGTGAAAGAATTTCGTGCCAAAATCCAAAACCTGTTGTCCCAAATCTGATTGTTTTGTCTAAAGATGTTAATTTTGATATCCAAACAAAACAGTTTATGGATTTCAACTAATCAGGTTACAGCAATGCAGTATTTACAGTCAATTAATGAATTCCTATAGCAAACAAAAGGTGTGATCCAAATTTTGAAGGCATACATTTTGGAACACAAGTTAACCGAGCATTGATTCTTAAATATATAATCATACCACTTGATTTTAATCAATAGAGATCAGCAATATCAGCCACAGAGAAAATAACATCACCTACTAAACATTTTACTGGCTATTTAGATAAAAACGAGTAAATTATTTAAATGAGTATTTTATTCGAAGACTATAAAGTTCTCCTTTGACTAAATTGAAAATACAATTACAGTTGAAATCGCTGTATTTGGTATACAAGAATATTAATAAAAATCGATCATTCCAAACTAATTAACTTGTCTTTGGAGATAAATGATAATTTATATTTTCACTGCCTCATACTAAGAAGAACAGAAACAGTATCCATCAGGATTACCAGTTGCCGAAGGGGTTTTAGCTTCAAATCGATTGTGCAAGAAGCCAATTCGGTCAGCATTGTTGTGGAAAGATATAAACGCTACTATGTGGAGTTGGTCAACAAACGCTATTGTAAAAGTTATTAAATCATTTTGGAATATGATCCTTTGTTTTTCTCAAGAAATTCAATGAGTGAACGTTTGCTGCCAACTTAAACACTGAAGATTTGTTGTATATAATTCCGTCCCTTTTTACACTTGACTTTTAAAAAGAGTGAAGACGTTTCAGTGGAGAGGATTTTCTTTTTGAGCTCCACGACCAAACCATCCATCTAGGAGAACAAAACTCTATCAAAATTATCCACATGAGCCACAAATCTTCTCCACCATCTTAAGATGACAGTAATTGGTTAATTGCTTAGTCAGACTTGTAGACAGTCTGACAGGAATTAGATGAGTTATATATTCTCCTATCCTTATTATTACTGTGATTGTTGTTGGATTGTTGTCGGTTTTTGGTGTGGAAATATATTTACGTTCTATTCAGGCTAATCACGTGTTCTTGATCTGAGTTGTGTTGAAGTTCTGTAGAATAGACTCTGGGAGGTTATCTAGTGTCCGAGCGTTATAACGTATATATATAATGTTAATATCAAACTGCTACAAATAAACAAGAATGAGGAGCTACTACACAAAATCATTAACTAAACTTGTAAAAAGATTTTGCGAAGTGTAGACATTACAAAATTCACATAACTAAACGTGTTCTTGTCACCCTTTTTCAGATGAGAACTCTTTACAGAATAGGTCAACCTCTACAAAATAATTCCAACGTCAATAAGTAAAAGTTAGTCGGCTAATTGTTTATCATGTGTTTAATTTCGTGAAAGTTTTCTGTTTAAACCTTAACTAAATAAAATAAATATCGACTCATGTCAACCTTAAGAGGAAAGTGAAATGGAACACGTTACCGATTCCGGAATAGCATTTTTATGTTGTGGAAAACAAGAAATTGAAAAAATTCAAAAGTATAACAACTAATTGTCGAACTGTTCAAAATTAAGTACTTCTAAATTCCACAACATGTAATTGACCATTTAGGAGATGACTAGTGCTTTTGATAAATAATGGAGAACAAAAACAGTTAATTGACACGGATTGATAAGAAAAATGAACCACAGATTTTGATTATATTTATCAAGGCATTCTGTAGACTGCCTTCAATAACATGAAATCAAAAACGTGTACTGATATCTAGCTACTTAGTGTAAAGCCACAAGACGAACTTGATCTAAAGAATCTGATCAATAGTGAGGGCCAGTGACTGATTAGTGAAATCCTAGAATAATTTGGGAGTAAAAAGATACCACATAATGTCATGTCGAATAAATAAACTCGAAATAAAAAGCATTTTTTTAAACTTTGATTTGGATGCCTTTTTAGCCGCTTTCTAAGGTGGCTAACAACTTCAACAATACAACAGAGGCGCGAACTGTGAGAAAGAGATATACTGCAAGATTAGTTTATGTACAGGAAATCTGTTGGAGATGTTAGATCCCCAGAATACACTTGGTAAATACCTCATTTTTGTAATTTTATTTTGAAAAATTGAATTTCTTTGTTTTCGCGCCAAAAGCGCTCTTTTCACCTTCATGTCGTATTTCCCACTTGGGAGAATCCTAAACGCTATTGGTCCGTTGTATCTTTTAGTATACTATTCTGTAACGCTTCCCAAGGACAGTTTTATGCTGTATATATGCGTTCGATTCGTGTCTGTTGTTATCGGTCGTGCTTCTGGCTGCTTAAGGAATATATTTCCCCGTCCGAACTTCGACTTCTTTCTCTAGTAAGAGGGGCCGAGAAGCATCAGAATAGCTAGCTTATTGGTCTTTGGTCACAAAGTCTTTGTTCCGTTTGCAGACTAGATGAACTCGTAATCGCTTCAAATATAGCAAAACCAAGAGTATCTACAGATTTATATATGGCCTTGGGACTCTAGAACCTTCTGGAAACATACTTAACATGATAACAATGCCAGTAAATATCCAATTTAAGACGTGACACATGATTTTTTATTTCCTAGATGTTTCTGAGAAGTTTCTATTCAATCTTAACGAACAGAACACTGCTCGACATCCAAAATAAAACTAATATATATGATATAACAGAAACAGAAACGAACCAATGGCAAGTCGTGCGAAGGAAAACTATGGAAGTATCTATAAAAACGTATGTGTTCATACCTACATAAATCTGAATACACGTATGAGTGTATATGTGTATGGAAGTATTCAAAAATTTGCAGGGATGAATGAGGAAAGCAATTCCAAGGTCAAAAATGTGCGTTAGCCATGGAAAGTTAAGAACTGTCCAACTAATCAATATTGTGAATAAAACAATTCACTTAGTAGATTGTTAAAATAACTATCAGATAACGGCGTCAAATCTATTTATCACATTAGTGGAACATATGGAATGATGAGCAATGTTAATGAAGCTGTATTACAAAAACACTTGTAAAAATTGTTATCAACATGCACAGAAACAAACTTATGGACGAGAAGCTTCAGCAAAGTTGGGAAAACTAACAGTATACTGCATAAAAAATAACTTACCGGTCCTCGCCATCCATTTATTACTGACAGTAATACATTAATATCATACTCTTTAAATTTTCTAAGGATTGCACACCTTTCCTATTTATTTGTTGTTAGAAAGAAAAACAAATAAAAGTTGGAAACTTATACTTTATGAATGTAAAACGTTTGAGACCTCACCTTATTTGATTGCTGTTCCAATTACCTAACTGTTCCAAATAAACACGTTATACAATTAATTTTTTAAACACAGTTCATTTTATTAACTTGAGATCAATTAGAACGACGAACTAAGTACAATGTTATTCGTGATTTTTGTCAATTGCTTTCACTGATTGAAAGTAAGTAGATTTCATGCGCTTACTGAGCCATCAGCTTACGCCCAATCTCTTTCAAATTCCTGCACATAAGCGTTTATTAACATACATAACATCGTACCTTCACTTTCCTAAAAACGCCTTGTTACGGCCGAGGGTAGGAGAGTCAGCTCTTCCTCTCCAAATGCTCTCACATGGCCACGCGTAAACAGCCACTGCCAGGGAAGTCGTACTCACTGCCTTCTCGTTATTTACAAAATTAAGAGGACGAAAGGTGAATATCCAGCGTTTTTAACCACTTTAGTGGGTACGGAAGATTTACATAGAGTTGGAAAACTCTGATTCCAAACTAATGGTGCACATGGGTTCCAGTATACTGAGGGGACAAATGGCGTATCAACCTATTGTTGGTCATCGGCTACCATGGTAATCCATCTCCTAACGTCGCTCCACTACCTTGTGGATCAGACCTCTAGGTCAAAGGCTCGAAGGGTGGTCTTATAAGAAACCACCTACTTCAGTTAGGGCGCTCGGACAATATTTTATGTACATTTTTGTTAGTGGGACATAGATTGGATTAAAGCATGCTCCGTGCAAAATTGATTTGGTGCACGCTGATCGGCTAACTCATATCCAATCATCGCTAGTCGATACTTGGAGAACACTAGAAATCTTCTCATGTATAACTATAAATATACTAACGTTTTTCCTATTGTGCTTCTTACTTCGATCTAACCTTGTTATTTGGAATATAATCTCTTTCATGTTCATCCGTGTTCTGATTTGGGGACTTGTCGAATGAATTGGTGCCCGAGAATAATAAGCAATAGGAATAGCTGGGTTGTAATAAGAGAGAATTATAACAATTTGGTACCTCCTTATACCAATGTTTGCATAAAACCTTCACTCTGGACAGTTACCTGATGATGACATTATGTGACAATAATAGTTGAATATTTATTGTACACTGTATATTACTTAACGAAGATTGGTAACAATTAAAAGAAACACAAAATCGTTCATAGTTTTTTAATGAATAGGATTTGTTTAGAGATTTGTGAACATTATTTATTGAGCCAGTCACCACCGTATGTTAACCTCTTGCTTAAGACTGTCTTAATACTGGTGCTATTTAGGAACCCACAAATCTGTTATCTTGCATTGTACTAACTCAATGATTCAGTTTACTTTACCATTCGACAATGAATTTGAATTCACGTTACAAAAGTGCCATATGGATACGATTTGTGGGCATGGATCATGTGAAATGTTTACAACAAAAACTGTCGCCCAAATATTCGTAGCTATAAAATCTTGATCACTAAACTTAGAAGTCTAAAACTATTGAACTTATTCCTACCTGTCCATACACTTATTTACCCTCAGGTAACTAAGTATAGCTCACATACTAACTTAACCTACGCGTGGAATTATTTGTCTTGGAACCAAATTAATGAGAACCTAATTAGTGGAGTGCTTGCTCAGTGGTTAGGACGTTCGACTTTCAGTTACTAAGTTGCAAGTTCAAACCTGTTTTATCTAATTGCGTTCGTGCCCTCATAATTTAAATGTGTGTTAGCTAGTTAGTGAGTTATCAATGTATTGAATAAGGTTAATCAATCAAGTAATGATACGAAAATTTCAAAACTCACCGTTATTTCACTATAAACATTCATTGCATGAAGAATGTCGGGTCGATCAACATGTGGCTCCTAAAGAAAAAGCGAGATAATTTTACCAATATTATTCTAAGTTTAGACTTCACATTTATACAGTAAATTACATTGACAGTTTTAACTCATAATCCTCCTTTACGCTAAAACCAGAGAACTTGGAAAGAGGAACAAATCACGACCGCCAAGTTTATGATGTCCTAAACAGCATTATCGGAACTGGTAGCATTCCCCATAGTATCTCAATCAGATTGAATGAAATGCACTGATATGGTTTACTGTATGATATTTTATGAACTTTCAAAAGTAATGCTTAGTTTAGAAGTGTCTTGACTATTCTAAGGGCTCTGCTAAATACTTCGATAGGTTACGTTTAAACTACAGAACCACCATGAGAACAGTTCAATCAATTACTTATCCGATAAAAATGTAAAGTGAATTCGTTTATTGCATTTTCTAGTTCACAAAATCTCAGAGACAGCATGTTACAGTGGCGTCATTACTCAATCACATATGTCAGATATTTGGCTGAAATGTGTGCTAAGATGTATTCTTCTGAACTTATAAAACCATTCACAAAAATTACACATTTATACCTTCTCGGGTATATCAAAATATAATCAACATCATATAGAATGCATGTGACTAAGGTAAACGTAAATATTCGAATCGATTTTCCATCACGCAGTTGCATAGTCAAAAACAATAGGCAGTTCTACTTTTATGAAGGTAATTACGAGGAAGTATTTAAAAAAAGAATATTCACTGAGGTAGTTCTTTTAGCATTTTTATGATAATATCTTAATGCTTAAGATAAAAAACCAATTTCATGTACACAAACAGAACATATAAATGTTATACACATATCCTATCATACTAAAGCTCAGAAAAACTGCTTCCCTAATTGTCTCCACTGCCATTAAGAGAAAAGTTATGGTGTTGATTCAAAGGATCTGAAAAAACAATTAGCTGTTAATGTAAAACTGATTTTCTCGTCGACTCCTCTACGACACTCAAGATTTCATGATAATAAAGATTAGGATTGCATAATGTAAACGACGTTGAAAGATATAAGAAAATAGTTTCTCACAGATGGTTCGTTACTACGCAATGATAGTTGGCCAGTTGTTAAGCAACAAACGACACGATTACATCATCTAGCACAGTTACGCGGTTGTCAACTACAATTTAATCAAATTTCAGTGAAGTGATAGATAGTAGTCAGCTGTAGGAAAAAGTTGACAAGCGATCGCTTACCGACATTAATTTTGATGTATACTAATATCTACAGACCCCGTTTTTGACGGAGCCATGTATGAAATAACTTAGAGAAGCATAAATAATAATGTTTGACAGTACAGCCATACTACGAAATTAATTGAACTTTATAAGTTTAATCAACATACCTCTAAATAGCGTTCCATCTCTTTTAAAAGTAAAGGATAACGACCCAAACGTTCAAATATAAGAGTGAGTTGTTGCTTACAATGGACCAATTGTAATTTAATATTAAATGAACTCATATATTTTGTTACTTCTGTACTGTATCGAAAAAAAAATTGAACAAACAAGTATTTCAGTGAGAAGAGGAACGGACCTTAATTACATCAAAGACTTATCGAAAAAAGTACCTTATGTAACCGTTCTTAAGCTGTTGTCCCTTGGGCTTTGCGGTCACGTTCTATTCAGATCCATCAAGATATATCCTTCCACGATGTGGGCAACAGGAGAGTCATAAGCGCCCTCATACTCGATACTCAGTTGTCCATGAGCGGACCTCTTTGTCACTTCGTAATAATTTTTCTATCGCCAATACTAACTCTTGTCCTATAACTCTATCGTTATCTACACGTGCCACCAATAATAAAAATTCGAGTTCACGGAAATGTATTCCTGGTCTTCGAAAACAGAGCTCGAAACTATATGTTGAAGTTTTCATTGTTTGTTTCTCATGTCAATTAGGGCAATAGACTTCAGATGAAAATCGATGTTAGCGGAATATAGATTGTATTAAAGCACGTTCCGTGCATGATTGCGTTGGAACAGACTGATTGACTATTTCTTATCCAATCAGCGCTGGTCGATGTTTGAAATAGAATCTAGAATCTTCTTATGTAAAAATATAAATATACTAACACTTTTCTTATTGTGTTTCCTACTTCCATCTACCAATGTTATTTGGAATATAATTTCGTTCCTGTTCAACTGTGTTCTGATTTGGGAACTTGTCGAGTGAAGTAATGTGCAAGAAGACTAAACAATAGGAGTAGCTGGGTGGTAATAAGAGTAATCATAACACTAGTTTTGTGCTATCGATATACGCTATTTTACCAAAATACACAAACAAGATCAGAGCTTAGTAATTAACTTGACCTCACCTACTCAATATAGAAATCTAGTGTGATTTATCCTTCGCGCATCAGGAGACTTGACTACCACGTTTTATGGCCACGCTGAAAGAAGAACAGGCTCTCGCAAACTTGATTCCGATAGCCAGTCGCCTGTGTGCGAGAACGTAAGGGAAAGGAGATATAGAGATACACGCCATTGCTTCGCCGCCATCTACGCCTACGCTCCCACTGACTGCAAATCCGATGAAGTAAAGGATGAATGTTATAGAGAGCTTTCAATTCCCGATCAAAAAGTCAATCGCTCAGATATCATAATATTAGCACATGATTTCAATACTTGAATAGATCATCTAAGCCAACGAGACAATTAAATGGGTCTCATAGTAATCGAGCTAAACACACAGAAACTGAGAATCACCTGCTGAAAATTTGCTCATCCAAATGTTTATTCTTACCAAGTACCAATGCTAAGTATAAAAACAGACACTATTTGAAATGGTGACCTCTACAACCGACTCGATGATGGAATTGAATAAGCTGCACTGTCATCAAGCATAGTTGCAAAATCTCAACAGAACAATCCCATTTATTCTGAAGCACATTTTAAGACTCTGATCATGCTCTAATGTGGGGCAAGTGTCTATCTGCACCTCCCTAGAAGCAGAAACCACCCAAAAGGAAGACTAATTAAGGTTCCGCTTAACAGTGGAAAAGTCTTAAAAATATCTCCGAAACAACTACAGAAGTGGTAAGTCAATCAGCAAGGCGTTGTACGCTCAAATTAAATCCAATTAGCTGTGAAAAACAGAAGTGTTATCTTCAAGTGATTTGAAGCAAAAGGTTGGGGAAAATCAGTGTATTTCTGTAGCGTTTGTTCAATTGATAGATGCTCGAAAACTCCTCGCATCAGACTAAGAAAACGATGAGGAACTAAAACTACTTAGAAACAGAATGACAAAAGGTCTATCCAATGGTCGTGATTGGTCGTTGAAAGCGAAAGCAAAGGAAATGAAAAAGGCAGACATGATAAACAACAACAGACAACCTTCCTAACTTATCAGTGTTATGATCACTCTTATGGCTTAGTATTCTTCGGACACTACTTCACTTGACAAGTCCCCAGATCAGAACACGGTTGAGTAGGAATAGAATTATATGGCAAATAAACAAGGTTGAGTGGGAGTTGGAATTGCAATAAAAATATTCTAAAGTCTTCTCCAACTATCCGCTAGTGCCAATTGACCAAAAGATTCAGGTTAAGGCAGCCATTATAGCAGCAGCCTGTGCAGCAGTAGGCCTCAACATACACAAGGGAAAAAGCTGGATCATCAAATACAACACGGAGAACATCAACCCAATCACACTTGATGGAGAAACTGGAAGATGTGGAATCATTCACGTACCTAGGAAGCATCATCAAGAAACGTGGATCATCCGGAGCAGACGTAAAGGCAAGGACTGGCAAAGCAAGAACAGCATTTCTACAGTTGAAGGACATATAGAATTCAAAACAAATGTCAAACAATGTCAAAGACAGAATCACCAATACGAACATCAAGACAGTTCTATTGTATGGAGCGGAAACCTAGAGGGCTACCAAAACCACCATCAAAAAAGTACAAGTATTTACAAACAATTGTTTACGCAATATACTCAATGTCCGTTGACCGGATACTGTCAACAAAAAACTACTGCGGAAGAGAACGAACCAACTTCCAAGTGAAGAGGAAATTAGGAAAAGACTTTGGAAGTAGATAGGACACACATTGCGGAAATCACCAAACTGCATTCCAAGGCAAGCGCTAACTTGGAATCTTCAAGGGAAGTGTAAAAGAGGAAGACTAAAGAACACACTGTATCGAGAATTGGAAGCACATATCGAAAGGACGAATGGTAACTGGAAAGGATTGCCCAGGACAAAGTTAGATGGAGAATACTGGTGGGCTGTCTATGCTCCTCCACGAGGGGTAACAGGACTTCAAAACACTGGTCATATATTTTGGGACTATGGAGTGATTAATGCTGAGGTTAGATTAAGGATAACACGTAAAACTGATGAGGTATCTATTCCTTATCGACTGAAACGGCTGTGACTTGTTTTGCGTGTACGCAAATACCGCCTATCTCAATACATACTGGTGGCTGGTGTAGGAGTAGGTGAGAAGAAAGCTAGAAAGAGACAAACCGAAATATGACATCAGTCCATAAGGTCACTGACGGTTGGGCTAAGCCGTGTAGTCATTCAATAAACCAGTATTTTCTTCCTAAGTCACATCATATGTTTCTAATCTTTCGTATTAATACTAATAATGTTACCACCAATAAACGAAATTATCATCGATCTAATTGATACTAAGGTTTTAAGATTGAGTTTTCCACAGTTTGGATAGTTTGTTTGCAAAGATCTCGTTATTGTCCAAAACGCTAAAAGAAGGATTGGCAACTAACCCATTCAGCTGAGAGAGTCAGCTTCACCAAAGTTACAAATGGTATACAATGTTAGTCATAGTGATATAACTGATTGTCTAAGATATACTTCTCACTCTCGAGTGTACTACGATAATGCGTTAATGTGACGATAACACTAGTCATGTTATATCAAATCAAGGATTCACGACCCATAATATAGAACCAGATATTTTATTCAATACAATTACAAGGGGTTACACTCAGTGACTCCGGAGTAGAAATCAATGAGAGGAAAGGGAACCAAATATTAAATAGCCAGTAGGCTGTGCCTCTTTGTCTCAATAACCAATCATATTTTACTACTTCAGACCTGGTCGTGGCTGCGTCGACCACATATTCACCATTCGTCAGGTTCTAGAACACAGGCATACCTATCGGCGTCCGACGATGGTGGTCTTTCTTGACTTAAAAGCAGCATTTGACTCGGTAGACCGCGAAATTCTGTGGCAGTGTCTGTCATTGAAAGGCGTACCCCAAAAGTGCATAGACCTTGTGAAGGCTCTTTACTCGAACACTACTAGTCGAGTCAGGGCTTATGGCGAACTGTCATCTACTTTCGCAACCTCAAGTGGTGTCCGTCAAGGCTGCCCACTTTCTCCATTTTTGTCTAACTTCATCATAGACCTATTGATGGAAATAACACTCTCGTCGACTGAATCCTCGGGTATTGATCTCCTACCAGGAGGTCCACTTATCGACTTAGAATACGCAGATGGCATAGTCCTGTTAAGTGAATACGCTGATAAAATGCAGTCTTCTGGTAGCACTAAGCAACAATGCCAGAATGTTTGGAATGCGCTTCTCTCCCTCTAAATGCAAGTTGTTGCTTCAGGACTGGCCTACGCCAACACCTGAACTAAGGATAGGGAGTGAAGTAGTCGAACGCGTTGACAACTTCACTTATCTTGGAAGTTTGATCAGCCCTAATGGATTTGTATCGGACGAAATCTCAGCACGGATTCGAAAAGCTCGTTTGGCTTTAGCCAACTTACGTCACCTTTGGCGAAGGCGAGATATCCGTCTATCTAAAAAAGAACGAGTATACTGCGCGGCAGTTCGTTCTGTTTTACTTTACGGCAGCGAAACATGGCCATTAAGAGTAGAAGACACTCGTAAGCTACTAGTATTTGACCACAGATGCCTTAGAAATATTGCTGGCGTCTGCTGGGATCATCGAGTAAGTAATAGTGAGATTAGACGCAGGGTATTGGAGAATGATGGTAAATCAGTTGATGAGATTGTGAATCTTCATCGACTGAGATAGTTGGGCCACGTGTTACGTATGCCTGAACACCGATTACCAAGACGTGCAATGCTATCCGGTATTGGAAATGGTTGGAAGAAAGTTAGGGGCGGCCAAACCAAAACGTGGCATCAGTGCTTGAAGTCACTAACTTCTAGTCTGAGCCATGTTGGTAGATGCAGACTACTTGGTTGGGGTCCGCGTGACTATCGTAATCAATGGTTGGAGACTCTTGGTGACATGGCTCAGAATCGATCACAATGGCGTCGGTGTATGCACTCGTTGTCTTCCCTTAAACTAAGAGATTAAAATCACTTCATATCTTTCTTTCTACTAACTAATTCTTTCTTCCAATACTATATCCTTATTGCAGTCTTTCTCCTATATATTACCACTTTTGACCTAACCACTCCTATGAATCCGGTGTTCATCTCGCTGTGCTAATGAGGTATGGCAACCTGGACCGATGCACATATGTACCTGGTCCTACGTTGTAGCTGACTGACTGACTGACTACCACTACCACACATTACAGTATAAAGTGGTCGCCGTCGCAGACAGGAAAAGTCCAGAGTCTGACGCAACTGTAAACTTCTTCACATAACCTGATAGAAAATGCCTTTTGGATTCGTTTCATACCTGGGTTCGACGACCTCGATGATTTTAACACTCAGTACTTACGCAAATCATCATAGCACCTCGAGGTATATGGTTAGTAACACATATGCTACGTTTCACAGAAAACCTTATCGGAATTTATAATCTCATTAAAAACAGTTTATCCTTCAACAAAAATTTTACATCTGGCTTTAACAAAGATTATTCGTCAGTAATACAGAATCAATCATATTGACTAAATACCTGGAATTTTTATGTTGTCTACCCATAACCATGTCACATTGGGTAATGGTATGTATCATAGCAATCTAGTCTTCCCTTAATAGAACGAATATTTAAATAGTGATTAAAAGTCTTAGAAACTTACAAGACTTGTAGGATGGAAAATTAATTTAAGTGATTAAGATAATAACTTACATATGTTCTTCTAATCCTGTTATAACATGTAAATAAATTTTTGAATAATCACACCCGACTGCGTTAATTGCTGGAGCAAAATCTAAAAATAGCCGACCCATACATTTTGGTCCATGTGTACTATTGGGAAAAAAATATCCATGAGTAATAAAAGATAAATATGTATTCAAAAGAACGACGAACAAACCTACCATTTCATTTCTGTTAAAGCCGAGGCCAAATGTTGATGTATACTAATGGTTTGAAATAATATGTCTCTTAAATTGACGAGTTTGTTCAAGAATGATCTACAAAAGAGAGGTGGTCGTACTAAGTACATGAAATTACAAGTGAAGTAGAGGCTCCAGGTTAATCATAAATACTGACAATAACTGAGATAGCTCACTAACTTGTCTTAATTCACCTTCTAAAACATGTTGTATAATCTTATGAAGATAGATCCGAATAAACAGGTAGATAATACATTCGATTTCTCACCTCGTTTTGAAAGTTTTGTAAGTGTATCAACGAACTTTCATCAGTAGTGGGATTACCCTTCTCATCTACAAGTAAATTTACTAATGATAAAAAAATACCTGAGCTGGTAGCATATGTTACATAGTTACTAGGAAACCAGCCAACGAATCCATTCAAACTACCTTCCCACCAACCACCTTCTAATTGTTTCAAAACTCTTAGTACGTCGCCTTTTTTAAATGAAAGCTATCAGCAAAATAAAAAGTATGAGTAAGATTAAAAGGAAATAAGATGAGGTTATAGCAAAAACATCCGAAATAATGAATGAATGGATAGATAGAGTTTAGATTTTAACCATTCGACTTTCTGCCACTGGGTGGAAAGTTAGAAACTCGCTTCATTGACTTAATAACGTTTAGTAAAATTGTAGTGAACGAGAACACAAGTGGGGACGACCAGTGCATTTTAATACAAAACTACAGGATTTCCTGGTAAAATATGAAAACCATACATTGAATACTTAATTTGCGAAATTCCATCATTTGTCCTTCAAATTCTGTGATTCTTCCAAGTCATAATTTCTTTTCTATTTCCGTTTTTGTTTTCTTCAAGTCGACCCTGAATTAAGACCTCTACTAACTGTCCTTGTGGCTATAGTGTTAGCAGTAGTGGCAACGCTAATACTGTGCATGTTACTAAATAGACTGAGTTAGATGTAAGAAAATTTAAGGATGTACGCGATGTAAGGTTGTAGTGAGAAAAATAATAAAAATAAGTGAATATATGCTACACAAGAATATAGTCTGAAAAACACTTAAAATTGCAATGTCACCACCTTTCGACGTTCTAATAAGTAACTTCGCGTAGGTTCAGTAACACCCCAAGTGAACGAACGTGTGTATGTTGCGGTTGCAGTTACTAGTCAGTCAGTCAGCTACAAAGTAGAACTATGCACATATTACACACAATTTGCCACACCTCATTAGCACAAGATGAACACCAAATTCATAGTGATCACTTCAATGGTAGTAATATATAAGATTGTGTATAAGGGTATAGTACAGGAAGAAAGATATAAAACAATTTTAATCTCACAGCTCAAGGGAAGACAGAGTGTATACACCTACGCCATTGTGATCGATTCTGAGCCATATCACCCAGTCCCCAACTATTGATCACGATAGTCACGCGGTCCCCAACCAAGCAGTCTGCGTCTACTAACATAGCTAAGACCAGAAGTTAGTGACTTCAAGCACTGATGCCACGTTTTGGTTTGGCAGACCTTAACTTTCTTCCAACTAACCCCAACACTGGTCAGCATTATGCGTCGTGGTAATCGTTGTTCAGGCATGCGTAACACGTGGTCCGACCTCGTCCCTAATACATTTCGTCTAACCTCACTATTACATAACCGGTGATCCCAGCAGATGCGAGCAATATTTCCAAGACATCTGTGGTCGAATACTAGTAACTTACGAATATCTACCCTGAATGGCCACATTTCTCAGCCTTAAATTAGAACACAACGAACTACCGCGCAATATACTCATCCCTTAATTGATAGGCGGATATCTCGCCTTCGACAACGGGCACGTAAGTTGGTAAAAGCCAAACGAGGTTTCTGAATCCGTGCAGAGATTTCGTCAGACACCAACCCATTAGGGTTGATCAGACTTCCAAGATAAGTTGAGTTTTCGACACATCCGGCTAGTTCACTCCCTATCCTTGGTTCAGGTGTTAAAACAGGAAGTCGTTGTTCGGTGCCACCAAAAGACTCAGCATTTTGTTAGCGTCTTCACCAAACTAGGCGTTAAAAAATCCCCGTAGAACTTTAAAGCCTAGCTCCCGAATGGTAAAAAAGCTGAGCAAAAATAAAACAACTAACCTCATCGGTATGTTGACGGTTATAATCATACAAAGCACAAACAAGCAATTGCTTTTGTGACATTTATAAAGTAACATTGAGATGCCGATAAATTAAAAATAAGCTTCGTCTACAACCCGAAGTTTGGAAGACCATTATGTAGCATCAGGTCAGGAGGTACTTTGTGTACTGGTGGAACATGCAAAGTAACGTCAGAAAGACTGGAAAATAGAACAGACAAGGTGATTTGACGACCTGGAGAACGCACAAAATTTGCTCACACTTATTACAGATTGCCGGTTTAAACGTTAGGTCCCATCGGATGTGCCCGCTCTTTCGTTTCAACGACCTTGAACGGCCTGACTAGAGGCGATCATTCCGTATTTACATTGCCATGTGTTGGTTGGATTGCATGAGTATCAAGTTTTTTTCATATATAGGTCATCTTATGCTGCATAAAAAAGCACGAAATAAATGCCAAGGGCATTAATTTGGCATCCTCTGTTTTGTAGTGTACACTTTGGCTCTGTTGTTGCTTTGTAATTTGATCTGTGATCCCAACAACTGTAGTAAACCTTAACGAACTGTCAAGTCACAGGTAAATCCTAAGTATTTGTAGTATTTCTTCGGGTTATTTTTGTTGCAAGGAATAACTTTTTAATAATTAATGATCTCTCTTTGTAGTGCTTCATGCTTAATTGACATTTCAGTCGACCTTAGCGATGCCTTTCGAAGTATGACAGTGAACAAGCGTTTCGCGTGCTGGGATGACTTTGATATCACCTTAAGAGAGTTTCAAAAAGTATGGAATAGTAATTTTATCGCTTCTCAGACTACTTATACTCGTTTCATCCATGGTGATCTATCTTCAATCGACTCATGATTTCAACCCGTGAAATTTCTAAAACTCTCCACAAAACCCATTCTGGTTTCATTGTACGTTTGGTCATAAGCGGAAATCGGAAGGTTTGTAAATGAAGCAAAAATCGTAAGATCTTTAACTAATATCTGATGTTTAAGGCCTAATCTAAATTCCGTGTAAGACTAGAGGAGCAAGAATATGTCAGCAAATTCTACAACATACTCCACAATCATCCATGTAGTAGTTCATGGATGGTATGTGATCCATGGACAAGAAGATTGTCATCAGAAGAAAAAGAGAACTTGAAGCCAGTAACACTGCGCTGTGAGTCAGCAGATGAATTTATCGAAAATATTAAGGAGAGAACTGGTAAGCAAGTAACCGCTGCCGATGTCAAAGGTATGAAAACTACACTCTCTACTAATAAGTGCATATAAATATATTTCAGGTTGTTGTACTCTGAAGCAGGTAATGGATACGCTGAGACAACAAGGTGAAGTGAAAGAACATTTAGAAAATAGATATCTCACGGGAATACGTTTCAGTAATTATGACCAAATACATTTGTACAGGAAATATCCAGAAGTTCCGTGGATTTCACAGACAGATAAGTGGTGTGAAAATCCTATAGGTTATAAATGATCCGTGGATTTAAAAACTGAAAACTTGGGTTACGTAATAAGTGATTACAATTTGAAGAGTTCACGTAATTACAGAGGATTAAGTGAACAGATGTAAGTGACAAGGTGCTGTAATAAATCGGTAACTAAATTTTAAAAATGAAATGAATTATTACGTAATACATCTTATTACTTGTTCATTCCATGGATTATAATGTATTCATATTATTTTCTATCTATATTTGTTCTAGCGCCATATAGACTATTTGTAAATACGGACACTGTTTATAAAGTAGAACACTGAGTATAGTTGCTATATTTATATTTCAATAATTCATTAGTTGAATTAAAATGTAACTAGTCAATATGGCACACAGTTATTGTGAACTTCTAAACCGGTTTCTCACATGATCTTCCATAATCACAAATTCCATGAGTTCTAGACCGACGTAAACGTCATCACAAACCTTCGAGGACTTTAATGGATTCATACAATTCTGAAAAACAACAAATTAGTCGTGCAATAAAGAATTGGACCTAGTTATCAGTATCACATTCAATAAGTTAATCAAATAGCAGGCCATAGAATGTGCATGTAAGTCTCTTATTTGCAAACAGCGCTAGGCATTAGAGATTTCGATTTCCGTTAATAAAAATCATAGTTAACCTTCATAGCACACAAGTCAGTGTTATTTACAAATTGCTGTAGTTAGTATCATCACAACATCCAAGCGTCGTCTGACTTATGAAGAAAATGTCATTAATTAATGTGACATAAAGGAGATATGAATACTAGAAACTTGTGATTCTGCTTCCATTGCTCATTCACTTTTTGTTACGTTTTCTGTATGAATTACTTCGGACGAGTCAGTCTGTAATGCAGTAGGAATTCATGAATTAACTCATTAATATTTGTTATTTGATTCAAGTCTGTGTCGTAACAAGTACTGGGAACTTCATGTAAACAGCGCTCTTCAGTGTCTAATCCTCGCAGTACTTTGTCTAGACATTTGGTATTAGCAAGAAAAATTGGTAAGCACCATTTAGATATTACTCGACAATGTGCATTATAACTTTGTTTACATTTTGGTCTGCGATTGTGCATTCCGTTTACAGAAACTTATTCGTCAACCCTATAACATGCACATCATAAATCAGTATTAAGTACGACATGGTCTTATCACCATGCTCAGAAGAGATGTAGTGGCATTGGACCATAACCACACTATCCTCAAAGCTGAATACGAGATTACTCGGAAAATAGGTATTCAATATTTAACGCGAAGAAATACCTAACGATGGAGAAGGCGCGAATAATGAATTGAATAGACTAGAGTTGATCGAACGGCATGGCTCGGCCATGCAGGCGTGGTCTCTGCTGAATGTTACCTTATATCTTCTTTTCATATTAAATATATTGTTCTTTCTCTAGCCTAACCTTGTTCTACATCATGTATTGGTAATTGATACGATACAGTGAGTTGGTGTAGTCGATGGTGTGACTTCCACGTAAGATCTTATAGATTAGGCAGTCATATCATGACAAATCTACAAATTTAGGATTAGGTCTATTATTAGAGCAGTACTAATATCATAGTAGATTATAATTCTACATTGGTGAGCCCAACTAAAGAAACGCAACCTTATTTCCACCTTAACCTTCTCAATCGGTTTTTATTTTTGTAAACCCAGTATTCTTATAGTCCTTTGATTAATGGTCACATATATTATCGTAATGTTATATCTATTAGTTCACATAACTTACTAGCTCAATCGATAATAAAAGTTGATCATCTATATCAACTAATTAGCTTTGATGGTTCGTTAACAAGCTTTAATAGCATTTACCTTCTTCAGCGACATAGACTTGTTTAAACATCAAGCTCTAGCAAATATGATCTGATTGAATAGATATCTGGATCTAATTCTTAGTGTTCCTTCGCTTAACACATCCTGTTTTAAACTATGCACTATCCTGTAAAATCTTTTCTTCCGACCACTGCCTGCCTAATTTCACATTCTCGAGTTCCATTGCCAAACAACAAGGATGACACTTTTCTCAAAACATACGGTGAGTTTCAGCCATAAGTTTCCTGCAATCATAAGGTCATTTTAGATGGCTCGTTCAATGGCTGACACAGTTATCTGGATTCATTCGATTGTTTTGATCCGAGCGAGTGGCAAAAACATCATCAGCATCAAGCACCCTGGAATTAATTGCCATACTGCATGTTTTATTGTGGATACTTTTGGATCATTACTCCTCACGAATGGCGTTATATATGTCGTCCACTGAATAATTTTTTTTTTCGAAAATAATCCAGGCGAGTTCAACCATTTCACTTAATTATTTTTCGTACCTAACATGTATGTGTTTCCTAGCTCCTTTTGCCATATATTTGTAAGTGTCCCTAGGCTAAATGCAGTAACTTCTTATAGAATGTTTATAACGCGTCATATTCCTGCCTAAAGTTTCACAAGCAGTCTTAACTTTAAAATTGTTTTTCTGGTCATGTTCATTATTTTTAAATCGTCATATACGTCAACAACCTGCATGTTAACCTGGTTCATACATACGTTACACTATATCTCCATGTCTTCTAAATTTAGAAATCATCTGGATCGCCTCTAACATTTATTAATAAACCCATCATAGTCGTTGTTGCTAATCGTATTTGGATTTGTGGATTGGTTTATCATATTATCAGTCTAAAATGCAAACATAATTTAGATAATAAGATTAAAAATTTAGGTACTATCAACTGCACTAGTAAAATTACTAAATCCTCAGGTAGTTGTTGGTTGAACAAACTTTTAAAATCAAAACTCCGTAGCCTACTAGAATTAACATTAAACAAATATTTCTGAATTGAAAGTTATAATTAAATTAGGCGTCTCGGATTCTTTAACGTTATAAATTTCTGATAATTTTGAATCACCTAAAACAACAATGCCTATTTTTCTACTGGCCAATCTTCAATCAACACTATAACTAATTAAACATAATAGTTTCAGGATATCTTCATAAAGCATTGTCATGACTTGACAATCACGTAACATGATTGATAAAATTAATGAAACTATTAACAAAATAGGTCAGCAAATTGACTTATAATTATCACTAGTGTTGTTTTTCTTCATTCACTACAGATTATTACAGTATGTTTCTCTATCGGTTGCTCACTCAGTAAATATCTCAAAACTTTGTCAGTCTAATTGATGGTTTAGCGACACAATCATGCATGCAAATAATCAGTATAAGCAGTCGAGCAAATATCCTGCAAACTGAAAACATCAATGTCGAATTTACCCCAACACTGACTAAGGTTCAAGCTATTATCATAGGCATGAGTTGGGAGTGCACTTCCCTTGGTTACAACTTGTGTTCTCCCTGATAATCACATGAGCATCACTCACTATTAATCATGTAAAAAATTATTTAGCCAAATACACCTTGCAGCACCACATCACTTAGTAATATGACACATAGGTTTAACTAATTTCAATAACGTATAACCACTATATCTCAATTAAATCGTGTTCCGCCTTATGACAAACTTCATACGTGCAACTAACTTGTATGTCCAATCAGCCGGCAAGTATAAATATAAATAAATAGTCTGCCACAGATCAGAACATTGAGTCTAGAGCATGTCTCTTACGAATACACTCATGTTTAACGATTTGTTCTTAGCTATCTGTCCAAAACTCATATAATTTTCACTCATGTATTTAAATTTTGTTTTGATAACCATTCATGTGTATTAGTAGTATTACTAAATTCTATCACGGTCAGGTAAACATGGGGTTGAAAAAATCTCCCCGTAACTAAATAAACCGTATCAAACTAACTGGAACACTAGTTGGAATTCTT